CCCTCTGGATCTTCTTTTCCTGTAGGACTATCATTGAATTCTACAACCGGAGAGATTCATGGAGTGCCAACTGAATATTTCGGTTTTGTAATAACGATTTTTGGGAGGAATCAAGTCGGTGTCACCAATACATCGGTTAGGTTATTTTTTAGAAAAGGGGAATGTCAGGAGGATGGAGAGTATCCCACCACAGATGTTGGGGATGTTATTGTTTATGAGTGCCGTGAGAAAGGTCCATATGTGGGTAAGTTGAAACGAGCTTGCTTACTTGGAGAAAAGGATGGAGAATGGGACAAAGTGAGAGGGATTTGCATGTCCTATTCTTCCATCTATGTTATTGTAGTTGTTATCATAGTTGTAATTATTCCTGCTTGTTGGTTAGTTTCTAAGTATATAGCAGAAAAGAAAAAAGCAAATAAGAAAAATGGTAAACCAAGAAAGATATCATCTTCAAGGAACCTTCCAATAAGAAAAAAGGGTGTAACTCGCTCAGTACCAGTCCAAGCAAACTCTAGAATAAAGCCTATTCAAGTGGGTGGTGATATAGAAACAAAGCAGATGCAAGTTAATGCTCAACCTGGAATAATACTGAAGCCAGCATATGTGTAACCAAGAAATAGAGGCAATAGTTTTGATTTCACGCGCCTATAGCAGAGTGTTTGGGCGGGAGTTGTATATTACTTGTATAGTTATTATTTAATTTGTTGAATACTTCTCTTTTCACTGTCTGGGAGAATGTCTGTTGATAATTGACTTTCATCTGCGGCTAATAGCATACGAATTTCACATTTCTACCCTTGTTGTGTTTTGTACGTTACTATGTATGTTTTGGGTGATTAGTTACTCACTCTCAGAATCAGAAATGAGTGTTCTAGGTATGTATGATGAAACTATTCCAGCCGATATGAACAATAGTTTATACTATATCACCAAAACGCTGATTCTATCAGATTTCACAAAATAAAGTAAGTAAAACATCATCACAATGTTGAGTAACTTCAATAACTTATCAATATTATTTTGAAGCATTGTGGTCATTTTACATACCACAGGCATTTAATATTGAAAAGCACCTAAATAATACTGAACATCGTGTTTTAGAATCTAAATACATCAGTGCATTTTACCCATCCTAATAAGAATCAGTTCCTGAATTCAGAATGTCGAATTATACGCGGTAATACAAAAAGTGACATTCTTAGTCTTTCTATTTATATATTTCATTTCAACTAACGTATTATTTCAAAAGCAGTGCCCTTCTTTCGTTCCTTCTCTTCGCATGCAATCAAATACTCTTTCAATGTCTTTTCCTTTCCTTTCTTCCTCTCTAATTCTCAAAATCTGCAGAACCACAACATAATACTAATTCTTAATCTTCCCTATCTAAAATTGCCAAAAATCATAGAAATCGATAGGTCTGGTGTTCTAATACATTACACGAGGAATGGCATCGTCTGAGAATTCCACAATGTTGAATTCACTTCAATGCAAAGTAGCCTGTATTTTTGGAATGGCAATTATACGACAGTATGTATAAAACTCGTTCAACCAATCATTTCGTTGTAGCGTATTCTGGGAAGTATATCACTCTATAGTCAATAGTAATTTTAATATATATACATATATTGAATAAGAAAGCATGAAATTCGAATATTAACATTTCCTGGTTTTTACAAATTGACTCTCTCTATATATATATGTATATTCATCACTCCTAAAGAAACTATTCTGCTTCTTGTTACATATTTGGATACCATTCTGTTAAAATAAACAATAAGAAACACAGTAGTCGCCTTATTTTTTAGAAATAGCAATTTTCTCAAAAAATATGAATGAAAATTGTAAAATATCTTGTGTTTTGATCAAGGATAGATACTCTGTCCAAGGTTCAAGGAGCTGAGCACTTACTTGATGGATATGCTACACTCGGTAATCCTGAACAAATATTGAAAGATGGAGTACGCTACAGTCTGCAACGGTATCAAGGAAAGCACAAGAACGAATTTCTATTGCGATCAGAGACTGGAGATACGTATTTGTTTGAAAATAACGTACTGAAGCAAGAATGGAAAGAAGGTGATAACAGTCAGATATCAGAAGAGTTTATCGTTTACAAGAATGGTCGAGCCGATTTCAGTCAGCGATTTCATTACATTTTTGCACAAATGAATAGTAAACGTTTTGTTTACCACAAGAAAGGACTTCGAATGGAAATCTGGTCAGCTGGAACAGGACATTTGCTGTATCACGGAGAGTACAACGAAAAACGAATGAAAGAAGGCTGGGGCATAGAATACGATGAAGAAAGCGGAAATGTGGCTGTGGAAGGGATGTGGAGCAAAGGAGTATTGAAAGAGGTGATTCGATGTTTCAATGGAGATACGATGACCGAATTGAAGCGCAATGGAGCAGATAGCTTGGATCCAACGAAACGAATTCCGATCTATGTGGGTGGATTTCGCTATGATGAAGACAATGAACGATTTATTCGTGAAGGAAAAGGATGCTCGATTGATGAAAAGACTGGAATTGCAACTCGAGAATGTGAATGGAAAGATGGAAAGGAAGTGAGTGGAGTAGATCTGACTGATGGAAGATATGGCATATATAATATAACGACGAATATCTCTCAGAGTAAGGAGTTGGTAATAATGAGTTTGCAAGTTACAGATTTGACGATTTCATCGAATTGCTGTAACGATATAAAATCATTAGACCTAAATCGATTCGAGTGGCTGCGATCCATCGAAATCGGTGATGAATGTTTTGAATCAGTGAAAACATTCCAAATCGATGGATTGAATCGATTGAAAACGATCAAAATCGGAAACAATTCTTTCACTCAGAAAAAGAATAGCGTTGGATATGACAAATCGAAATCATTCCACATCTTGAATTGTAAGTCTATGAAATCGATTGAAATGGGTCGATATAGTTTCAGTGACTTTGCTGGAGACTTTGAATTAAAGAATCTACCAAAACTACAATCCATTCAAATTGGCACAGTTGAGAGTACCTCAAACAATTTTACTTGTAGTTCATTTGTGATTCGAGGTATTGATATAATAAAGAATATGAATTAATTTATAGATCTTCCTGCTTTGCAATCCATTGTTTTAGGTCAAAGTACTTTCCGTTACTCCTTATCAACAAAAATAATAAGTATTGTCCGAAATTGAATGAAATGATTCGTATAGATCTTCCATCACTGCAATCCATTACACTTGGGCATGAAGCTATTGATGGGCATGACAGGCAAGTATTATGTTCCTTGACAATGCGAAGTGGGAATAATATGATTTTGAATGATTGAATATAGATCTTCCAAGTCTGAAATCCATTATCAACAAGGAAGGGTGCAGTTTTAATGAAGCTCGTATCATCAAATTAGAGAGTAATCAGAGTTATACCCTTTATATGTAGACATTCCCGATCTTAATAGTGTGGATTTACCCAATTCGTTCCATAGTGTTATGAAAATAACAATTAAGAGTATGCAAAAAGTCTATTATCTTGAATAGATGTTCATAAAGCGTTATCTTGCCTATTGCCTAAAAGATTGTATTATTTTGATTACATTGAGTCGATTGAATCATCAATCACTTCGATTACACTTCCAGATTGGATGTGTAATGAAGAAAACTATCAGCATTTTGATTTCTCTCATTATAGTTCTTTGGAATCACTATCAATAGGAAATAATAGTTTCAGTTTCGTTCAGACATTTCAAATCGATGGATTGAATCGATTGAAAGCTATGATAATTGGGGTGAATTCGTTTACCTTAGTCAAAGGAGGACCTTGGTCATATATGACTAGTAAACAAAAATCTTTCCACATAATGAATTGTGAATCATTGAGATCCATTCAAATTGGACAGTATAGTTTTTACGACTTTGCTGGAGACTTTGAATTGAAAAATCTGCCACAATTACAATCCCTCCAAATTGGTACAATTGGAAGGTGGTCGGGTAATTTCAAAAGTGGGTCCTTTGTGATTCAAGGTATTATCTGATGTTACACACTCAAATAATTAGATCTTCCAAATTTGCAATTCCTTGTTTTAGGTGATCGTGTGTTTGAAGGTTCCTTATCAACCATCCTTGAAGGTATTGAATAAGAATCAATGAAATGAATGACTTAGATTTACCTTCATTACAATCTATTCAACTTGGCCAATGGGCACTTGATGGTGTTTTGAGTGAATCCTGTTCATTAGTTATGCGAAGTATGAATAAAATGACTCGAAATGAAAAAATGTAGATCTTCCAAACTTAATATCCATCAATTCTGGAGGAAATAGCTTCTTTAGACCAATGCAAGTGATATTGGAAAGTAATTTTAATTTGAGAGTGTTGATTGTTTCTAGATATTCCAAATCTTCAAATTGCCAATCTACCTCGTGCATTCGAGAATGTTCAAAGGAAATCAATTTCAGGTATTGCTTATTTGATGTGTTTTTATCCACAGATGTTTCTCTCATTCTTGCTAATCGTATCCGATTCAAGTAATGAGTCTCTGAGCACTGTTCTCTTTTGCTGACTGCAAATAATGATCACTTGACTTTGATTATTGCGTTTGTGTCAAACTAATTCCCTGATATTATTCATCATAAGGTAGATTGTTAGGTGCTATCCATTTTCTCTTGTGAGTAATCTTGAAAACTACTGAGATAATTTGTGTTTCAGAGTTTGTTTTGATATTTCTCTCTTCAATTATCTGAAGCAAATTACCAATAGCTTTTCATAAAGCTATCATAATAGGCGATTACTTGTGGTCTTTTTGTGAATCACATAACATATCACTGAATGAATTGAGAATTCCTCGTCAATTTATTCTATTCACTTATCTTCCACTTCCACTGCAAACGAATATAGATAAATATGAAAATATACTCACATAGAATACCCATTATGTATCCCATCTCCACAACGGATCACCTCCCTATATTTAGTTCATTTCAACAAACAAAAAACAATCCATTCCTTACCACAACCATTTTACTCGGCTTTTATTTCCAAAATCTCTGTTTTTAAATTTACAAAGGCTTCGTAGAAGCTCTGGATTTTAGTGCGATTATCCTCCATCTTTGTCCGCAATTGACTGGTTTCCTGCTCGATCTTCTCAATCGATTGAATCTTTTGTTCCAACTCTTCCTGCAAGTCTTGCGTTCGGCTGTACTGATTCACTTCTTTGGCTTGCTTTTCAATTTCATTCATATGGCGTAGATGCTGAATCGCGTTTTCTACATCCTTCTCTAATGCTTCCTTATGGATTTGGAGTTCCTTTAATTTCTCATCTACTATTCACAGTCAGCATACATTTCGCACTTGATTCATTCTGTAAAGTCTCGAATGCAGCGAGATCCATCTCTAAGCATTTCCGAAGTCCAGGAAGACGTTCAATAAGGAGTCTATACTGGTCTAATGCTTGAATCGTATCGAATCTCTTTGTATCACTAGGATTCAACAAACGCAAAATCTGCAACAGTTTCGGGTCTGAATTTTCCAGGGCATGAAAGAACATAATAGCAGAATCCGTGCACCTAGACACAGAAGGAGTGGAGGGAACTAAAACGATGGAGTGCTCATCAAGACGTTGTCGAATAATCGAATCGTCTACATCCTAACCAGCACATAATAAAGAATTACCTGTTGGCATGATGTTTTTTTCTAAGTGTTCATAAGATTAAAAATCAATTTGGGCAGGTTCCATTTTAAATCTAATTTGATTCGAAAGTCGCAACTAGGGTTTTTATACACATGGAGTGTAACCCTGGAGAATGGGCCTTTCTATTCCTTCCTGTAAAGGATCATCTCCACAGAAAACGTTGTGCATATTCTTTACAATAGTCTCATTTTTCCAGAGTGCATGGTATTCTATTTGAATACAACAGTCCAGCTTGAGAAGGACTGTAAGAATCCTCGCTGCCTTGTCTCATCGAAGTTAAACTCTGGAATTCGCTGCATTGCTTATATTTATCAGGGAGATGATTTTTCAAACCCTGTTAGTATTGTAAATATAGAATATAATGAGAAAATCAACGAAACAGAAGCTGTTTTGATTAGCGATACAGACTCCGTATTATAACTTGGTGTCTATGACATACAGCATACACAATACAATGGAAGCCCTTTATCATTCTATTTCCTTCCTCGTTACTACCTACAGCCTTGGGAACTCGTTTTATGCTGTATTCCATGTTCTCTTGACAAGTACTCGTTCAGTCCATATTCAATCCATAGTGATTATCGTTGGAAGTTACATGTGCAAGAGAATCTTCTCTCCCGGTATAGTATGGTTCATGATGCATATGAAACTCATCCGATGTTTTGCTTTCGTTGTGATCTTGCTCCGTACTCTTTCTTTCCTTCCTATCTCCCTAAGTCGCCACATGGAAAACGAGATTCTTTATTTTATCATCACACACGTTGGCTACTGCGACTCCTCCACCTCATTTGATTTCTGCTCTTCCTCTCTCTACCCCTCCATCCCTTCCAACCCTCAATTCGATTCTCTTCCCCACTGTTCCTGGACCGATTTCCTCTCCATCTACCCCTCCGACAGCTTTTTCGCCGCCCTCTCCAGCCATTTCACGGACCAAATCCAATGGAACCGAACGCTTTTCCTTCGCGGATCCCCAGAACTCTCCATTCCCATCCGCTCTGACCTTCTTCACTTCGTTTGCTTTGCTTCTTTGATCGATCGAATAGACGAGTAGCAATCTTTTGCTCTCCGGACCGCCTGGCACCGGAAAAACCTCCTGGATTTACTCGATCGCGAAGCAATTCGACATGCCCTGTACCTCTGTTTCTCTCTTTCGAATCGAGGCATGATCGCGAACGTTCCTGACATGCTGCTGTCGAAAGGATCCGACGCTCCGCTGGCTCTCCGCGCGTTGTTTCGCCAATGCGTCGCCATGGCGCCGTCGATTTTGGTGATCGATCCGCTGACGACGCTAACGGCGCACAATCCGTCGAGACAAATCGATCTGTCGCCGATGGACGAGGCGTTTCTTTTGGAACTCGATCGAATTCTGGAGGAGGCGAGGGAGAACGGCGTGACGGTAATCGGCGTGACGATCGAGAAGAGCTGGGTGCAGGAGCGAATTCTTCGGCTGTTCGACGAGCAGGTCGCTGTGTTTTGATTGGCTGATCGACAGATCGAATTCGGCGTTCCCAGCCAGCGCGATCGCGCGCTTTTCTTCAACCATCTCGTCGAGTTCTTCGTGGAATTCGACGAAGCGCAGCAGTCGGAAGCCTGGAAAGCGCGCTACGTCGAATTCTTGGCGATGCAGAGTCCTTCTTTCTCGTGGAGCGACCTCAACGCGTGCATCAAATCCGCAGTGAATGGCTGCGACTCCGCGAAGGATCCTGCGCGTTGCTGCGCGCTCTGCTTGCTCCAGGCGGTGCAGAAGCATCGCAGCGACAGCGCGATTCTGCAAAACGCGATGCCTTCGAGGCGGGTCGCGACGGATCTCCGCGCGATTAACGTGTTCGACGACGTGTTTGAGACGATCGGAGGCAGCCAGTCGCTCAAAGCCCAGCTCATTGAGACCATCGTCGAGCCGTGCTTGCACTGGGAGGTCGCTTCGATCGAATTCGATGATGTGAAGAGATACAAACAGTTCGCGTTCGCGCTGCCCACGGGAATTCTGCTGTACGGACCGCCTGGAACGGGGAAGACCGCGATTTCGCGCGCCTGTTCACAATTGGGACATCTGAACTTTTTATGTCCCCATATTAGTGACCTGGTGAACAAGGAAATCGGAGAAAGCGAGCGTCGAATTCGCGAGTTATTCGCCCAAGCGGAGCGATGTGCGTATGGGCTCGAACGAATCTGATTGGCTGATTTTTGTAGTCCCTGCATTATCTTCTTCGACGAAATCGAAAGTGTTTTTAAGAACCGCGAAATGCAGGACGTTTCGTCGAGTGCGCAGCAAGTGGTCACGCAGCTTCTGCTGAAAATGGACGACGTTCGAAGACGGAATCAGAGCAATGGAAACAAGCTCGTGTTTATTATCGGCGCGACGAATCTCCCGGAGGTTTTTTTGCTGAGGGAGCGTCACGTGTAGCAGTTGGATCCCGCGTTGCTGCAGCCGGGACGGCTGGATTTGCTGCTATTTGTGCCGCTTCCGACGAAGCAGGAGCGCGAAGAAATCATTGGAATTTATGGGAAGAAGGCGTTGGTATTCGAGGAAGTGTCGATTTGCGAATTGGCGGATTGTGGAGGCGATGGAATGAGTTGATTGTGTAGGCACGGAGGGCTATTCGGGAGCCGATTTGAAGTTTCTGATTCGTTCGATCATTCTGAATTCAGTGAATTCGATGAAGCTCTCGCTGGAGGAGTGTAAGAAGCAGCGCATTCCGGTGATGCGATCGATCGTCTCGAAGGCGTTGTCGGAGGTGCATCGGTCGATCAATCCCGAGGAATACGAGCGATTGAAGAAGTGGCGACCGTCCACGTGGCGATCTCATTGAATGAATGAAGCAATGAAGCAATAAATGAATGAATGAGGCAATAAACCAATGAATGAATGATTGAATGATTGAATGAATAACACAACGATTGAATGTAACAAACAGTCAAATCACCCTTTTCCTTTCGTTTTTTATGATCAAACGACCATCCAAAGAGCGAGCCCAAACTATCTAGCAGCCCGCCATCGTCCGCAAAGCCTTCCCACATCTCGAGAGGCAGCTGATCGTTGTAAAGACAATCCATGCTTTGAAGATGCTCCAGCGTCCAACCCGGGAGTTTCAGATGCTACGAATGAACCAAACTTAAAAAAAAACGCACTAAGAGTTTGTAGAGAAGGCTTGTGTAGGACTGGTTCTGCAGCGTGAAGGCGAAATCGTCCCATTGATACATGGAAGGATGCCCATCGGATAGATCGAAGAAACTGGCGGCGCGGTCTTGGAATCCAGAATAGTGAGGAAAAGGGAAAAAGTGAACGGACGGACTAAAAGCGGAGCTTGAACTCGAATCTGTAGCTGTGTTTGTGGAAGAAGAAGAAGAAGAATCAGGAGAAGAAGTGGATTGAGGGTTGAATTGAGAAGCAAAATCGAGTTTATTGCGAGGGAAAGGGAAAAGAAAAGCTTCGAGGGACGCGAAGTCCAGGGAAGAGAAGAGCGAAATGATTGAATCGGAGAACGGGATGCAAAGAGAGGAAGAAGAAGAGGACGATGAAACAGCGGGGGAATTGCAGGATTGAATGAATCGATAGAAAAAAGGATCTTCGATGAAGGACCACGGAAAACACAGCGGATTTCCACACTTCGCATTGATATAACACAGAGCTTTGAGGCCTTTACAGAACCTCGTGAAGGATTTGGAGTCTTCGGACTCCTAGAAATCATTGGTAATGAATGAAATATACCTGTGTTTGCTTTCGTTTTTGTTCGTCTTGCCATTTGTAAAAATCGATCCATTTTTGAGAACTGAACTCAAACGAGTTCAAGAAATGAGAAACTCCGTTCAGGTCGTAGTTTCGTACCTGCTTCAAACCCCACCATACAACCATACAGATATTCGACCACGAAATATCATGCGAGTTATCATTGAAACACTTGCGTTCCCCGAATATACATTCAGAAAATCCTCAGGAGACACAGTTAGCAATAAATCGGCGTCATCGGGTTTACCAAACGTTCCATAAGCTATATTCAAAACAACAAACAAACTCTACCTATTTTACCATTTTCTCCTTTTTCTATATGCAAAACAAACGACATATCCGTTCCCTCTTCCGATACTAGTTTAAAGCCCATCTAAACATCATCAGCATCCCAAAGAATACAGTTCCACTGGCGGATGTATTCGGATTAAAAGCAAAAGCCATGTAGCTCAGGACCTCCTCAATTTGTTGGCGGAGAACGCGATCCTTTTCACTCTCATCCGAGTTCATCGAAAACAAGCCAGGGTATTCCCTATTAAAAGAATATGGAACGCGATCGATTTGCGTGGAATAACAAACATGGAAGCTATTTCACATTTCTTAACCCAAGACGTCTCCATCTACGAGATGTACGTACTATGTCGTGTTGCAGTTGTTCGGCGACTTTAAAAAACGTGGCACGATCTCCCTGATGGATGATAAAGGAGACAAGACAGCAATCTTCCTTGGATTCCACTTCAATTCCAAACGAACTGGTTATTGGACCGTTCATCCCCTTTCCCTCTCCATAGGGAAAATGATATTCGAACTTCGCAATATTGACTTTGGATTCTTCGTTTTCGTGTGTATACTCAATTCCGTCACAGGCCTTGCAGAACTCCTCAATTCGCTGCCAAACGACGGGCTCCTTCTCCTTCACCTCAAAGCAAATGTCAAATCGTTTCTTCGCCTCCTTCCTTTTTCCAAACACCTTGAACTTGGCTCCTGGTGCATTGAAAATCGCGGAGAATCGCTCATCAAACGACCAAAATACACACCATCGAACGATATTCTTCAGCTTCTCACCACTCTTGGAATCATCATGAGAATCATCCAAGCTTTTCTGGCTTAAGACAACACTTCCAATGCTAGGAACCTTCCTTTCTCGTAAAACACGCAGAATTCGCTTGAGTGTGGTTTTCTTCCCTACAAGCGATGAATAAAGTGAAATCTTGGTTTGGAGGTCCAGACTTTCGTCGAGGATGCGGCGTATAAATGTTTCCTCACCTCCGAGCGTAATGCTTTCATTGTGCGTCAATTCGGTGTTTACGTATGGATTTTGCTTCATTTCTTCAGAAGAAGCAAAGAAGGGTGGATTACACATGCAGAAAGTGACCTGTTGCTCCTTTACAAGGTCTTTCAGCAATGGTTGATCGGAGGATCGCTGATGAATGGTGATGAATTCGTTCAAATGGTTTTGATTGATGATGGATTGGCTCGAAGCAATGGACACAGGGTCAATATCGGTCGCAATAAATGACCAATTGTAGAGAGAATGGCCAAGAAGAGGGTAAATGGCCGAAGCTCCCGTGCCGATGTCAATCCCGATCGTTTTGGATGTGTCGCAGTCTTGAAAATCGGGATGGAGATGCAGAATTTCGTGGATCCAACACAGATAGTTGACTCGTCCAGTGATTCCAGGAGCGAGGTGGGAATCAGGCATATCCCATTCAATCCCAAAATCTCTCTTGAGCAACGCTTTTGTAAGCATTCTGCACATCAATTACCATGCAAAATCCCTACTTTGTAGCATTCTTTTCTTTCCACCGATAATATACGCTACCGTCTTTATTTTGACCCACATAGTCTTTTAGATATGGAAAATCTTTGGAAAGCTCGAGGAAATTGGGAGCATTGTTGAAATAGGGATTATCAGGATGCATACTTGGCCCATCACCAGGAGTTGTCTCAGAATACAATCGCTTCATCCTCCACTCTATCTCCAAGAGAGTAAAAAACTATTTTGAACCAGTTTGGAAGATGCAAACGACTGAAGGAGGAGAAGAGAAAAAATTGGAGACACAGAATAGCGAAAATCTCGCACAGAAACGCCAAGCAGAGGAAAGTGGGGCAGAACCCGAATCCAAAGTGCGGCGCTCTGTGAAAAACATTGTGTGTGTAACAGAAAAGGATGTCGGCATCGAAAAGTCTGCACTCGATTAGGTTGTGACCTGTAGATACGTTTCAACCTCTCCGGGTATTCGCTGTGTATTGAAGAATTCATGCGATGATTTTATTGTACGAGAAATCGACAAGGATGGAAATGTGGTGGATTTGGTGAGTGAGGAGCTTCCTCCAGGTATTTTTGCGATCTTTCCCAATCACACGCAGAGGATCAAGTCGAAGAAGACACTATGACGGAAGAAGAAGGTTATTCCAAATTCTCTCTTCAACCTAGGCTGGAAACGTTTGCACTCCCTCTTCGATGACGCGGTCTGCGACTCGATCGCCTCCCTCCTATCCCAAATCCAAGCGAACAGCAACACAGACGCGCAATGTTCCCTCCGTGCGATCAGCAGCAAAGAAACGCGTCGCGAAGTCCACCAAATCATCCGCAAAGCGTTCCCTTCCCTGCAATCCGACACGGATGGCGACGTGATCGTGCTCCGCAGCGCGGCGAATCCGAATCATTTCCACAAAACGCAGCGAAAACAGTGGCCGTATCCCGATCGAAACTACGTCGAATTCACGCTCAAAAAGCGCGGGAAGGACACCATGAGCGTCATCAACAGCATCTGCAATGCATGTCGTCGCGCAGCCAAAGCGTTCACGGTGTATGGCACCAAAGACAAGCGCGCAATCACCTTCCAGAAAGTAGTGGCGTACCGAATCTCTCCCGTGGGAGTTTCGTTTTTTTTGTGTTTGTTAGAGCGAGTTGAAAACTGCAGTGGCAAAAATCAGGGATATTTCCATAGGCGACTTTTGTTACGTGAACGAACCGGCTTCCATAGGAAAAAACCGCGGGAATCGATTTACGATCACGCTTCGCGGATTGCGAGCGAACAATCCGGAGAGTTCGATCGAAGTTCTTCGATCGCGTCTGGATGAAACGGTCGCCAGTCTGCGAACCGCGGGATATTTGAATTATTATGGGCTGCAGCGCTTCGGGAACCGCGGTTATAACATTTCGATCGGGTGCCACATGCTGCGGAGTGAGTGGGAGAGCGCGGTTCTCGCCATTCTGGAGAGCAGTGGAAAAGGGGAAACGGAGAAAGCGGCGGCGAAGCTGCGCGAAACGGGCGACGGCCTCGAGGCGATGAAACTCCTTCCGAAAAGCTTCCAAACCGAAAGCAAATTGCTTCGCGCGTTGGGGAAAAGCGGCGGGAAGGGGTACAGCGTAGAAACGTGGAAACGTGGTACCGCGTAGAACGCGCTGGCTTCGATTCCGTACACGCGACGCACGTTGTACGTCCACTCCGTTCAGAGCTTTTTGTTCAATCGGATGGTTTCCGCTCGCATCGATTTAGGCATGAAACTCCTCCCCGGGGATCTGGTTTCCCCGGTTTCCCCAGTTTTCCCGGTTTCTACATCGAATTCTGCAGAATCGCCTTCGAGTGCGTCCGAACTGTCCGATAAAGTAGAAACGTGGAAACCCTATTTCTCCAGGCTGAGATAATCGAGATAACCGCGGAGAATCAGGAACAGTATTCCATGCACGAATTGGTGTTGCCGCTTCCTGGGATTTCCACGCGAATTCCCGCGAATCTTGCGGATGTATACGAAAAGACGATGAACGAGCTGGGATTGGAGAAGGATTGTTGGAGCAAAGCGGTTCGGGAGTATCAAATGCACGGATCGTATCGACGCATGCTGCTGAGACCGCGAGATATGGAGGGGAGCGTGAACGAGGAAGATGATTCGGTGGTGTTGTCGTTTTCGTTGGGTAGTGGGAAGGACGGGGGATATAAAGTAGATTCGGGGTGTTATGCGACGATGCTGATTCGGGAAGTGACCAAGTATGAGACGGATGTGAAATCGCAGCTTAGTCTTTTTTAATTGTTTGCGTGTTTGTTGGAAAATGGAGCGAGCGACCCAGAAGACAATGGAAGTGTTCTTCAAAGCTTCTGCAAAACGAGTGCAACGTACGATTTCGGAAAAGTGTTTCATTCTAGCTGTTTTTACGCAAGACATTGCAAAGCATGTTACTGTACAATAAAAATTGAGCGTATAGTATAGAATGAACCGCCCTTCAAGCAATCGGAGGTTCAGGACAAAAAGAAACAAGAGCCGGTATCGGAAGAGGACCAAAAGCCATGTACAAGCTGGATCGGTCCCTTCCGCTCGGGTGTTAGTGGAACGTGGGGCGAGTTCATTGCCAAGGAAGCTTCCAAATCGTATTTCAAATCGCTTCTGGTAATTTGAACGAATGGTGTAAAATGGAGGCATTTTTAGAAAAGGAGGAAAAAGCCGGAGAAAAGATTTTCCCTCCTCGTCCGGAAGTTTTTAACGCGTTTGTGTACTGTCCGTGGGAAAACGTGAAAGTGGTGATTATTGGTCAAGATCCGTATCATGATGACCGTCAGGTACGTTCTTTATGCGTTTTACGTCACATCCAGGCGCAAGGTTTGTGCTTTTCAGTCAACAAGGGAATTCCAATTCCTCCCTCGCTTCGCAACATTTACACGGAAATCCACAGCGATCTCGGTCTTCCAATTCCAAAGCACGGCTCGCTGGTGCACTGGGCAAAGCAGGGCGTGTTACTCCTCAATGCCTGTCTGACTGTGCGCGCCCACAAGGCGAATTCGCATAAGAAGAAGGGCTGGGAGACGTTTACGGACAATGTAATCAAAGAAGTGAGCGACAAGAAGAAAAATGTCGTGTTTCTTCTGTGGGGAAAACCTGCCCAAGAGAAGGGAGCTGTCGTGGATACGACGCGCCACCTTGTGTTAAAATCGGCGCATGTAGCGAATCGAATACAAAAGTAATGTCTAGCCGTCGCCCCTGTCTGCATTTAAGGGAGAGAAGTTTTTCGACCACCACCACTTTTCTCTGACGAATAAATACTTGAAGGAGCACGGACTCGAAGAGATCGATTGGAGTGTGGATAATTTTCATGTTTGTTTTACGCAATGTTTGGATAGGAAGGAAAAATCGACCGAATTTTTGGAATCTCACAATTCTCCATTTTGTGGTTTTGTTCCGTCTATGAGCTTCCGACGTCTTGCTGCTGTCGCAAGTATTATTCCCAAGCGCGGGTTGGAGGAGTTCGTGAGCCAAACGAGTGTAGCTGGAAAGGATGTCGTTTACGGTGGGATTTCGCGTGGAGATGAGTGATGGATAGGAAGAGCTTGGAAATCTTCGGAGCTTCGTCTGAAGAGCTTTGACGATTTGCACAAGTTGTGGTATGTGCTATTGAAGGAGCGAAACGCGCTTCTCACTGAAAAGTACGATTGTGAATCTCGCAATGTTGCAATGGTACACCCTGAACGTTTACACAAGGTGAAACTCTCTATGAAGCGCTTAAAGGGAGTATTGGGAGAGAGAAAGATCGAGTACGAGAGACTACAGAGAGAGATGAGTAACGCAGAGGAGCAAACGGAGTCTGTATCCAAATTGGTTGAATAGTGGTTTTCAATGTGCTTTTATGACGCATGTTTATTACAAAGAAGTGTACAAAAATCGATTTAGACTGAGAACATGTTCTCTCACAGGTGCTAGGCGGGGATTCTCGGGATGGAGCGACAGAGCTCGTAGTTGCGCGCATAATTGCTTCTGTTCGTCTCCCTGTGCCGCTTGTTGAACGACTGTCCTCACTATACGTCACAACAAGAAAGTGAACGCACCAATTACAAAGATGGATACGAGTGCTTGGTGCGATAGCTGCAACGTGTCTCTGATTATTAGGAGAATTGCTTTCTAGATCGTACTGCAGATAGGGATGAAGCAGAAAGTGAATCAATGCGAAGGGCACTTGCGAGTGTCGGATTTGCTCGCTTCCTTCGGTGGAGGCTGCGAAATTCTCGAGAGACCAAAGGAGAACGTCGATGGTTCGCTGTGAGTTGAGAGAATGTGCATGTGCGATGAGAGTGGTGATGGAGGGAAGGATGGAGAGCTGCCGAAGTGTGCGAATTCCTTTTGGGATGCTGCAGAAATTGCCCAGAACACCGCAACTGTTTTGGAGGAGAGAGAGATCGTCATTGGTGAGAGAGGAGGATTGGATGCGAGTTGAAATGCGTGAAAATGAAAACCTGTTGGTCATTCGACGAAAAAGAAAGAAAAAGGTACTGAAGGAGAAGAGCGATATGAGACAAGAGAGACTCGTCCAGATAGGACAGTTCCGTCATGCTGTTCGGATCGCCTGTGAGAGTCCATCTATAAACATGAAAGCTTTCTGCGAGTTTGTACAGGATGAGTAACAAGGCACTGAGAGAATCCACGGAAAGAACAAAGTCATGGCCTCGATATTTTTCCTCACTGCTTTCTGTCTGCGAAATCAATTGCCGGTTCACAGTGCAGAGTTTTGCGATTTTTTTGTTTAGAACAGCCAGTTCACGCTGGATGAGCGATACATAAACGTCACTGGAATGATTCGGTTGCATTATGTGAACAGCGCCGTTTTTCGTTTGGAGGGAAAGTGCGAAGTGTGCATAAATGAGTACAGCAAATTAAAAAGAATCCTTCTTTCACAACAACTCAAACACAATTTTATATATATATATTGAAATAGAAGGTTGACAAACAAGCAACTTCACTATTCCGTGTCCATCCTTTCTGTTTTTCGGTTTTTTAATTTCTGTTTATTGGAATACCTTTGCGGAAGAATGGGTAATTTGTTAGATTGTTCAAGTGGCGTGTGTACTGGTTTTTTGCGTAATTTTGTAGGATACAACTGTAAATGAGACCAGCGAGCAGCTGGGAATCACAGCAGACGAATCTCTGGGTTCATTTGTATTGGAAAAGCAGCAGCCGATTCTCAATTCGATGATATGGAGAAACCAGCGCGAGTATTTCAATTCCTTGCCCACAGGGCCGAATGGAAGCAACGCTACCGAATTTTCCGTGTCATGTAATTCCTTCATAGCGAAAGTACAGCTTGCAGTCTGCGACTCAATTGCAGGCCTACGCGAATGTAATAATGGGATATGTGCTAGACTGGTACAGCAATCCCTCCAACGACACCTCCGAGCCGATGTATGTCATCGATATCGGCGCAGGCTTCGGCAAACTCAGCTACCTCATCATGTACAGCCTGTTAGAAATGAAAGAGCACTGGCCGTCGAGCGACCACCCTCCCTTCGTCTACGTGGTTTCCGACTGCTGCAAGGACTACGTCTCGCTGTGGCAGCGCGACCCCTACCTCTCCCAATTCGCCCGGATGGGCTACCTCGACTTCGCGGTCTTCGACTGCGCTGCAGACACCGATTTAATCCTTCTAAACTCCCATCTCTCCATCTCGCCCGACTCCCTTCTCATCCCTCCCTTCTTCCTCTGCAGCTGCGTGCTCTCCACGCTCCCCCAGGACGTCATCAAGGTCGAGCAGACCCTCTCCCGCGGGAATCTCTCCGTCTACCAGGCGCCCTCCTCGCTCGACTTCCAGTATTTCCCTTTTTTTTGTTTCAACAAATCAGTTTTTCCTGGGAATACGAGGGAATTGCCGACCCCGAGTCGCTTCCCTGGTGGCCGCTTTTCGGCCCCTCCATCCACACTTCCCAGTCGCCCTACGCGCGAATCCTCACCATCCCCGCGGTGGCCGGCTCCTTCCTCACCAACGCCCTCGCCTGGAGCGAAAACCGCGGGATTTTCCTCATCGCCGACGAGGGCGTTTTCTCGGCGGAGGACCCTCGGTTAACCGCGGATCCGTCGCTGACGGTGTCGGGCTTTGCCCGGATGCCTGTGAATTTCCCGCTGCTGGCGGAGCTGGCGGCGCGGCGCGGGGGTTTCGCGCGTGTGAGCGCGCTGAGCGAGGGGTTTCGCGTAGAGGAGAGAAGGAGAGGTGAGCCGTAGGCGGGGATCGTGGCGTTCGGACTGAAGGAAGCGAGGCTGCGGCGCACGCTGCGGTGGGCGAAGGTGTCGCTGAGCGAGGTGACGCCGTCGACGTACTTCGATTTGATGACGTCGCTCTCCGCAGAAACCTCGCTCTCCGCGCAGGCCATCTTCTATCTGCTGCGGCTGAGTTGTGGAGATGCGGATGTGTTCTGGAAGTATCGGAATCGGCTGCTGGCGCAGCCGAGTGCCGCGGGGAATCGCGGGAATGTGCGGGTGGATTTGGGGCTGATTCGCGATCATATTACGCACAGCGCGGGGAGCAATGATGTGTGTTTTGAGCTGGGGAGGTTGTATATGGGGATTGGAGACTATCAGACGGCGTTGGAGCTGTTTGAAGAGAGTAATGATATGGTGAGTCAGCATCACGTAACGTGGTTTAATATGGGTGTGTGTGCGTATTTCTTGGAGGATTTGGACAGTGCGAAACGGTATTTCTCAAAGGTAGGAGAGGTAAAAAGGGGATGAGTGGAATAGTCGCTCCAGCTCAAATCGACGTTCGAGGAATCAAAGCGATGGCTGCAGTTGCTGACAGAGGGAAATCTGGAGGCGTTGCGTGTGTTGGCAGAATCGATGCAACGCTCTTTGAAAAGTGAGTGAAGGACTTGTGTGCTCATGGCTTGTTTGTTTGAGAAAACGCACTCTCTTGGCTTATTTATAGAATTGTGTAAAAAAGTGTGTTACGTTAGGTAGGGAGTTTCAGCGAACAGGTTTGGTTAGTATTTTAAAAGGCATATCAGGATGTTGTGCAGTCACCACTATGTAGCACCTAATTTTCGAGATTCACCGGTAGATTCTAATGCTTCTTTTAGTGATTTCCGTTTTCGGTAGGATTTGAATTTTTGGAGTGATCGGAATAGCTCAATCAGAGCCCCTTCTGGTTGTGAGGGACCTGGTCGTTGGAGATTACTACATTGAAGTTCCTGTTCAAATGAGCCAAGACGGCATCGTTTATGTGTACCCACTTCCTACGGAAGTGCAGATAGCTCCTGACGATTCTTCAATCATAAATTATGGTTTTTCGGGAAATGTTACTGCCGGCGTGCAGAAATCCATATTTGTTGAAGAATTGCAATCTAGATCATCCTACAACCTATACATCACTGGCCGGAGCACGACGGGCGCTGTCTCGAGCCCGGCTCGTATCGTTCGCGCTGCCACTACGACAGCTCGTTCCCCTCTTGGTGTCGATCTCACCGCTAGCCACTGCTCCTGTTTTATCCATCATTGATTACATTCCTCAGAAAGAGTCAATAATTTTACAGTACTCATTGACTTCTGCAGGAACCATCTGGTGCCGCGCCTACCGTGAGGAAGAGAAAGACTACGCGACGGTGGAGGGTGTGTACGCTGGAATCCAGGGCATTGCTGCGGTGGCGCACGTGGTTTCAAACTACTACATCGGCAATCTCGAGCCCAACACGGACTACTACACGTTCTGCGTGGCCGAAGACGAGCATCAAGTCGCCATGAGCACTCCCTTCGAATCGACCGAGCGTCACGTGATCACCCTCGCAGGTGGCTCTCCCGCGGTTTTCTCACGCCTAGAACCGCCGTTCCTGTCCTACCTGGGCAACACGGTGACCTACAACTCCATTTCGATCTCCGCGATGTCCAACGTCCGCGCCGACGTCTACAACTTCACCGCGGTTCACTCGCCCGACTACGCCTACCCCTCGGTGTCCCAAGTGAAGCTGTCGGTCCCGGACCGCGTGGCGCGCTACGAGCCCTTCGTTTTAACGTTCGATTCGCTGCAGAACGCCACGGAGTACGCGGTGTCGCTCTACGCGGAGGACCTGAAGCAGGTGCCTTCGGAGCAGTCCATCGCCTCCACCACCTTCTTCATCACCACCGACACGCTCCGCTGCGTCGCTGAGGGCGACTGGCCCGCCACCGCCGCGGGCTCCTTCGCCGAGCAGCCCTGCGCGCGCGGCTACAGCGGCGCCATTCGCCGCTGGTGCGACTGGGAGGGCGTCTGGGGCGCGCCGAGCGACGAGTGCGGTGGGAGAAGCGGAGAGGCCTGACGCGCAGAGCGGAACCAGTGCCCCGCGACGGGCGAGTGGCCGCAGACGCCGTCGATGACCGAGGTCACCATCGACTGCGGCGCGGGGTTCATCGGCACGCAGACGCGCGTCTGCGACGACAACGGAAACTGGGGCGTGCCCGACCGCTCCATCTGCGGTAGGCGCGCCGAACCGCGGTGACCTCTAGTGCAGCGCATGTGTCCCGCGGAAGGCGGCTGGCCGGAAACGCCGGCGCTGTCGACGGCGCTGCTGCCGTGCGGAACGGGGTACTTCGGAGAGAAGCAGCGGTTCTGCAACGCGGACGGCGTCTGGGAGGAGGAAACGGCGTCGGCGTGCGGTAGGCGCGGCGAACCGCGGTGAGGAGTAGTGCCGAAGGAGGTGTGTCCCGCGGAAGACGGGTGGAGCGCGGCGTACGAGGGCGACTCGGTGACGAAGCCGTGCGGAAGCGGACTGACGGGATCGATCACGCGGTTCTGCCTGCTGGGCGCGGTGTGGGGCGAGCCGATCTATAACTGCAGTAGGGAGAGAGGGCGAGGAGTGAGCGGTAGCGCAGCTGTTCTGCGAGGAGGACGGGATCTGGGCGCAGACGGCGGCCAATTCGACGGCGATGATTCCCTGCCCGATCGGCGAGGAGGGCTTCATCACGCGGTTCTGCTCGCCGGAGGGCGTGTGGGGCGCGGCGAACTACGCGGCCTGCCAGCAGATCTTCTGCCCCGAGGAGGGCGTGTGGGAGCGGACCCTGGCGGGACTCACGATCCCGGGACCGTGCCCTGAAGGACAGTTCGGCGCGAGCCATCGAACCTGCTCTGCGACGGGAGCGTGGGAAGTGCCCGACTACAGCGACTGCTACGACCGCGGCTGCCTGGCGGACGGGGAGTGGGCGACGACGCCCATCGAGACCACGCTGCGCAGACCCTGCGGGCCCGGCTACACGGGCTATCTGTACCGAACCTGCAACGCGCAGGGCGTGTGGAGCAGCGTGGACGACTCCGAGTGCGAGCAGCTGGTCTGCCCGGCCATGGGCGGACTGCCCGAGACGCCCGCGGGCACGACGCTGGAAGTGCCGTGCGGCGAGCACTACGAGGGCATGATGACGGGCACGTGCTCGATTTACGGCGTGTGGACGAGCGTGGACGTGTCGCAGTGCGGTAGGGGAGGGAGAGAGCGTTGAGGGTAGTGGCGATTCCGACGTGTCCCGCGGATCAGGGCTGGCCGGAGACCAACATCAACACGAACCGGGAAATTCCCTGCGGTGTGGGAATCGTGGGGACGCAGACGCGGTACTGCTACGCGAACCAGACCTGGGGACCGATCCTGGATGACGCGTGCGGTAGGGGTGCGGGCGAAGCGTGAAGGGCAGTGCAGCTGTGGTGCGAGGCGGAGAACGGATGGGAGCGGACGCGCGCGGGCCTGACCGCGCTGAAGCCCTGCGAGGTCGGGTTTGGGTACATTCGGCGCGAGTGCTACGCGACGGGCGAGTGGGGCCCGGAGATCACGTCGTACTGCTGTGGGGGAGCGAAGGCGGCGTGACGACTAGTCTCGGTGTGGTGCGTGGAGTTCGAGGGATGGCCGGCCACCGGAGCGGGACAGACCGCGACGCTGCCGTGCTCGTCGGGGTTCACCGGGAACCGCAACCGAACGTGCTTGAGCGATGGAAGCTGGGGCCCGGTGGATGAATCGGGGTGCAGTAGGGGAGTGAAGAGAGAGAGAGGCTGAGGGCGTAGGCGTGCTGACGTGTCCTGCGGACGGGCTGTGGCCGGAGACGGTGCACTCGACGTACAATCTGATGATTCCCTGCCCGACCGGGTACTCCGGAAACATGTATCGAACCTGCTACGCCAACGGACAGTGGTCCGAAGTCAACGATCGCTACTGCGGTAGGCTTCACTTCTTCGCCGTGGGTCACGTCTAGTGCGCAAGCAATGTCTGCCCGATAACGACTGGCCACTTACGCCCTCGCTCACCACCGCGCAGAAGCCCTGTCCCGCGGGATTCAACGGCACCATCGATCGGTACTGCGGCGACGGCGTGTGGGGCGAGACGCAGTACAACTGCGGTGCGTGCTGGCGGCGCGGCACTGACGGATAGAAGTGCTGACCTGCCCCGAAGACGGCGACTGGCCGAAGACCAACGCGGGCACGGCGCAGACGATCGCGTGCGGCCGCGGCTATCGAGGAGAACAGACGCGCTCCTGCTCGATGGAGGGCGTGTGGGGCGAGGCCGATCGCAGTCAGTGCGGTAGCCGCGCGGATCGGGAGTGACGGGTAGAGGAGATTTGGTGCCCGGCGTTCGGCGAGTGGGAGAGTCGGCGCGCGGGCGAGGTGCAGGTGCGCACGTGCGACGGCGGCTATTCGATTCTGACGTGCAACTACGACGGCCAATGGGAGGGCGACCCGAACGCGTGCTGTAGGGCGTCCCTCGATCCAGCGATGCTCTCTAGACACGGTGCTCTGTCCGGAGGACGGGCAGTGGCCCTACACGGCGCCCGGCGACACGCGCAGCGGCTCCTGCCCCGAAGGCTACACTGGCTTCTCGCTGCGCTACTGCAGCGCGGCGGGCGTGTGGGACGAAGTTAATCTCGCGAACTGCAGTACGCACCGCTCGTGTCTCCTCCCTTCTAGTCCGCCTGGTGTGCACCGCCGAGGACCCCTGGCCCGAAACCCCGCGAGGAACCTTCGCGGCGATCCCTTGCCCGTCCTACGCGACGGGCACGCAGTACCGCGAGTGCCGCGCGAACTCGCAGTGGGGCGCGGTGGACCAGTCGGAGTGCGTGGCGCACAGCTGCCCCGCCGACGGCGAGTGGCCGCAGACTCCGATCGGGAGCACGCTGATCTTCGGCTGCGGCGAGGGCTGGCGCGGGCAGAAGTCGCGCTACTGCGGCGAGGGAGGCGTGTGGGCGGACGTGGACGACAGCAAGTGCTCGCAGATCGTGTGCGTGGGCGATGGGCTCTGGCCGACCACCAACGCGCTGGAGACCGCGGTGCTGCCGTGTCTGCCGGGGTACGAAGGCTCGATGCGGCGCGAGTGCTTGGTGACGGGCGTGTGGGGCCCGGTGCAGGACCTGTGCACGGAGAAGAAGTGTCCGCAGGAGGGCGATTGGCCGGCCACGGGGTTCGGACAGACCGCGGAGGTGGCGTGTCCTGTGGGGTACAGCGGAACGTATAAGCGACACTGCTCGAACGAGGCGGTGTGGGAGGAGCCGGACATGTCGACGTGCACGCGGCTGCACTGCGCGGCGGACGGGATCTGGCCGACGACGAACACGCTGACGACGGCGAGGAAGCCGTGCGGAGGCGATCTGCTGGGCGAGATCACGCGGTATTGCCGAGAGGACCAGACCTGGGATGAGCCCGATTCGAGCGGATGCAGTAGGCGAGGGAGAGCGGGAAATGAGCGGTAGGACCGAATTACTGCGAGGCGGACAATGAATGGCCGCTGACCTACCCGAACCAGACGGCCACCGTGGCGTGCGGAGACGGCTATCGAGGATTCAAGAACCGAACCTGCTCGCTGGATGCGCGCTGGGGAGAGCCCGATATGTCCGCTTGTCGTAGGCGATCGGGGTGTGCGGGATGACGTCTAGTGCCGATCCCCGTGATTCAATCCATGATCTTCTCTGCATCGACGTACTACTTATCGGCGATGATCCAGTTCGACATCACCGCGACGATCTGGTTCCTACCGCGCCTCGCGATGACCACTGCGCCCTCCGTCTCGCAGATCCTGGCCTCGGGACAGAACTACACGTGCGAGGGCAGGACGCCATGCCGCGCGGTGATCCGCGGACTGCAGCCCATCACGCAATACGATGTGTATTACTGGTTCCGAAGCGAGGCCGGCGCGGAGCCCTTGACATCCGTCTCGGAGATGATGCGTCGCCTGTACACGATCGATATCGTTCCGTACAATCTGGTGATCGAGGCGGCGGGCGCGGACTACCGAATGATCACGGTGCTGGTGAATAACGAGCAGCGCGGCGGATATGTGTGGTGCAAGGTCGGAGAGACGGATGTGGTGCCGACTGCGGTCGAGTTGAAGACGACGGAGCCGCTGGTCTTGGAAGAAGGCCAGGAGAACGGCAAGAAGATCATCACGAACGTGTTCCCGAACACCACGTACTTCGGATATTGCTACGCGGAGGATTTCTATGGCGACGCCGCGGCGAACTCGATCGCGTCGACGCGGTTCGAAGTGCGCACGCTGCTCGAGGAGGTCAGCTGGACGCTCCGACTCAACGCTTCGATGACCGAAGTGGTCGTGGACGTGACTATCAACCGCCACGGCGAGCTCTGCTGCCAGCTGGACGCGCAGCCCGGCGTGTGCGGCAATGTCACATCGAACGTTCCCTACTCGCTGCACATCCCCGCGGAAGACGACCGCGAGTATCTGGTGCAGTGCGTGATGCACACGGATTCGCTGCTGGATTTGGTGCTGACCAACGCCTCCCACGTGATTCGAACCCCGTCCAGACCGCCCGAGTTCTTCTTTGACGAGCCCGCTCCGCTGTACAACGCGGTGCTCCTCCCTCTGTTCTCCGACCGCTCCGCTTTCATGTGGTGCCTCGTCGTGGAGCCCAGCTACACCAACATGCCCTCTGTGGGCGACATGAAGACTGGCCAGCGCTTCACCATCGCGCGCGACGTGCTGAACGAGCTGCTCGTTACCGGGCTGCAGCCCGTTACCGAGTACCGCCTCTGGTGCTACGGAGAGACCTTCGAGGGGCTCGCCATGGTCAATCCCCGCGAGAATCTAACGTGGGTCGTGGAGACGCTCACGATCCCGCCGTCGCTGACCGTGCTGTCTTATTCGGCCTCGGCGACGTCCGTGCGGCTCAGCGTGTCGCCCTCGATCCCCGCGACCGTGCGGTGCTTGGCGCAGAGTCCGGAGGCGCCGGTGCCCTCCGCGGCGGCGTTCTACGGGAACGAGGGCGTGTGGATCGAGACGATCGGGGAGGTGGAGGTGACGGGGCTGACGGAGGACACGGACTACGCGGCGTACTGCATGGCGTGGGACGTGCACAACCAAACGATGACGACGCCCGTGGCGGACACCAAGCAGCTGTTCCGCACGCCGCTGGACCGCCACTCGATCTTTGTGACCTTCGTGACCATGCAGGAGCTCACCGCCACCATCTCCATCGTGTCCTCAGCGGACGCCACGGCGTGGTGCATGCCCGTGCACGAGAACGACGTCGTTCCCGTCGCCAGCACGCTCAAAACCGCGGGGCAGAGCGTCCATCTGGTCGCCAACGCGCCGGTGCAGATGACATTCGAGAACCTGGAGCCGGATTACGCCTACGCGGCGTACTGCTACTCGGAGAGCGAGCGCGGGCTGGCGCAGCAGGGCGAGATCGCGGATACCCGCGTGACGTTCCACTCGCTGAACTACCCCGTGATTTTAGTGACGATGGCCTCGGTGTCCTCGAAGACGTTCGAGATCGACCTCACCAGCTCCACGAACGGCACCATCGTGTGTCGCGCACGCGTGGAGGAGCCTAACAACCTCCCGCCCACGGAGGAGTGGATCCAGGCGGGACAGTCGATCTTCATCCCGCAGCCCTCCATCGTGAACTACATGACCGTCCAGGGCCTGCAGCCCTCCACGCCCTACCAGCTCTACTGTCTCGGCATCAACGACGATGGCGTCGTGGGCCTGCAGAGCCTCGCCGATCGCATGCTCAACGCCACCACCGCGGCGGACGTCGTGGGCCCCGCGGTGCTGCTGTCGACGGACCCCGACGAGTACATCCTGCCCGCCCAGCCGGTGAACGTGACCGTGCGCTTCTCCGAGACCGTGCAGAGCTTCGACGTCGCCGACCTCGTGCTGGACAACTGCCGCATTCTCGCGCACCAGGCGGTCACCAGCCAGCTCAGCTACCTCTCCGTCGCCCCGCTCACGCACGGCATCTTCTCCATCACCGTCCCCGCGGGGAAGGTCTTCGATCTCTACGGAAACGGCAACTCCCAGCAGGTGCTGGCGCGCACCTATCCGGAAGGCGTGCTGAGCGCGTCGCTGCGGACGGTGGCGCCGCTCTACGCGACGCTGGCGGTGCGGTACACCTACCCTGCGAACGTGACGTGCGTGGCGCTGCCCGCCGCGCTGCCGCCGAGCTCCTGCGCGGCGCTGCAGGCCTCGCCGGACGCGGTGTGGGCGGAAGTGGCCGGCGGCGTGGAGGAGGAGCTGGTGCTGCAGAACATCGCGGTGAACAGCACGTTCTACGCGTACTGCTGCGCGGAGGAGGCGAACGAGCTCGTGAGCGGGTCCATCGGCAGCACGGAGGTGCAGATCGTGGTGGACTGGCTGGACTGTCCGCGCAACGGCTCGCTGGTGTGCAACGGACAGGGCGTCTGCAGCGATGGCGAGTCGTGCGCGTGCGCGCAGGGCTTCTACGGAGCGGTGTGCGAGGCGTCGTGTCCCGGACTGCTGCGAGCGTCCGGCGCGAGCGACGCGCACGAATGCCGCGGACACGGCGTGTGCCAGACGGACTCGTTCGTCTGTGTGTGCGAGGAGGGCTTCGAGGGCCCCGACTGCACCGCGCAGCGCTTGGAGGCGGCGGTCCCCGCGGAAGGGTACCGCTTCGTGTTCGCGAAGCTGCGGATCGCCGCCAGCGAGGCGGCGGAAAGCGAGTTTGAAGTCCAGGAGAACCAGCTCGCTCTGCTCTCCGTGCTGGCTTCGACGTTCAGTTTGGAGCGCAACGACATGCGTGTGGAGCGATGGGACCAGACGCTCCCCGCGGGGCGCCGCCTGGCCGATGAAACGCTCGTGAATGCCACGTGCGTGCTGAATGTGCAGGAATCGAAGGCGCAGTCCGTGAAGGACGGTTTGAACGACCCGGCCGTGCTGAGCCAGCTGGGCGAGGATCTGAATTCCCGCGGTTTTGCGAATGACGGCGTGTCGCTGGAGCAGGTGATCGTGCTGTCCCCCGCGGAAACGGACCCGTACACGTGCTACGACGGCGAACGGAGCGAGGGCGAGAGCGACGTGGACTGCGGCGGCGTGTGCTTGTCGAAGTGCGGCGTGGGGAAGCGGTGCGAAATCGACGCGGACTGCGCGTCTGCGCTGTGCGAGGAGGGCGTGTGCGCGAAGAAGTCGCTGGGCGCGGGGTGGATCGTGCTGATCGTGCTGCTGGCGGTGCTGCTGGTGTGCATCGTGGCGCTGATTGGTTTGATGGTCGTGTCGCGACGACACGAGAAGAAGAAGGGCAAGGCGATGCGGGAGGAGATGGACAAGCAGTTGCGCGAGAAGCAGAGGGTCTTCGCGGCGTGGGAGGAGAGAGACATGGAGCAGGAGAAGGAGCTGGAAGAGCAGCAGAGGAATTTGAAGGAGCTGGAGCTGACGACGCAGAAGAAAATGCAGGAGAGGGGAATTCTGGTGGGGATGGCGCCGATGAACATGGAGAACGACGAGGAAGCGGCGCTGCAGAGGGCGGAGAATGGCGAGGCGTATCAGCGAGTGATCGAGATGCCGCGGTGGAACGATCCGCATGAAGCGGTGATGAGAGAAGTGGGCGAAATCGAACAAGAGAGAAACAAGGGCGGGCAGAGCTCAGTGCAGCCCATCGAGCCCATCGAGCCCATCGAGCCCATCGAGCCCATCGAGCCCATCGAGCCCATCGAGCCCATCGAGCCCGTTGAAATTGCTCAGCCAATGAATGTGAATGGACCCATCGAGCCTGTTGAGCCGCCCGTTGAGCCGCCCGTTGAACAGCCCATTGAACAACCCGTTGAACAACCCATCGACCCCGTTGAACCCATTGAACAGCCTGCTGAACAGCCTGCTGAACAACCTGTTGCTCCTGCTCAGCCCGTTGAACAACCTGCTGAACAAACGAATGCAATTGGGAATGCAGCGGCTCAGCCGAACGATCCGGCAAGGAACCCAGTGAATTTGACAGTGAAATAGACTGGAGGACAATCTCCAGAACGTTCACATGAAAGAGTGGGAATTGATTGAATTTTTGTGATTGTTTGTTAGAACATTAGAGAATGCAGACTTTTCCTGTCATTGACATCTATGAAAAAACTATAACACAAAGAGACACTGCTTCCTGTACAAGAAATATGAAAACATACAGTGATTGCTCATAGACAAACACTTGCTTCTTGTAAAAATCACTGGATCAAAACCAATTTCCATTTGATTTACTAATTTTATTAGTTTTAATTGCTTTCAAACCCAACCATTCCCAAGTCAAAATGATTTGGCTAGAATCATGGATGGATAGATTGGATTATCGAAATAATAATAATAATAATAATGATAATATAGACTATTTAGACAAAGTGGAGTGAACAACCAAATCCTTGCTTCATAACACGATTTCACTATGATATCATAAATACACAACCTATACAGACATAGTAGACAACAAAATGGACTTTTCCATTCTGAGTGTTTCCAAACAATCCTGATATTATTATTATAAATATCTATACCTCCGAACTATTTCAACCACAAAAATGTGAACAAAATGATGCGAAACACAAGTGAGTACTTCACTTGGAAATCTTGGATCCAATGTGTATATGGTAGCACTCTATCATATTTTTTTTAATATGAAGAATACTTAGGTGTAAGGAAACAAACTGATCTCTCTGTTTTCTTCATAAATTCTTTATATTTGGCTATAAATTACGGATTCAAAGAGTAGAGGCTAAGAATATGTGATTCCAAATAGGTAGAATGGAAGAACTTAAGGGAAGCGAATTTCTCCTGGACGGTTACATAACGCATGGTGAAGCAAAGGAAATCACTATTGGCGGCTGCAACTATAGCCTCCAATGTTATCAAGGCGATCACGAGGCTGAATACACGTTGACGAAAGCTGGGAAGGTTTGCCTATACCAAAATGGCATACTGAAGATGTACTACGAGGTGGATGCAGACGACACGAAATCGGCGACTTTACGCGATTTGAAAATGGATGTGTCGCTTTTGTCCAATCATTTGATGATATCTGGGATAACAAGAATTTTCATCGTATAACAAACCATGTCCGAGGCGAGCGTATGGAAATCTATTCGCATGCGAGTGATCACCTGATTTATCACGGTGAGTTCAACGAGAAGCGAGAGAGGGAAGGATGGGGCATCCAGTATGACGATAAAACGGGTGCCATGCTGCTCGAGGGAATGTGGAAGGGGAACAAGCTTGTGGAGATCATCCGCAAGATCGAGGGAACTATCATGATCGAGTTCAAGCGAAACGGTGACAACACCATCGCTTCGAATCGAATTCCCCTGTATATGGGCGAATTCATTTATGATGAATCGAAAGAATCGTTTCTTCGAAATGGTCGAGGATACTGGATCGATGAAGGAACTCGGATTGCTACTCGCGAAGTGGAATGGAAAGATGGAAAGGAAGTGAGTGGAAGAGATCTCTATGATGGATGGCATATTCATTCATTCATTCATTCACTCAATATTACTTGTTTATTATATACTATTGCTATGTTAATCACATTGCATTTCACATTGTTTTGTTGATCAAATAGAAAGCAAGGTTTTCATTCATAGGATTCACACATTCCATCCATCATCATATTATTCAATCGATTGTTTTGTTTAATGATACTATGATTCCTATTCACCATTTCAATCTATGAACCACATTCCTTTCTCTGCAATATCATTCTTTGTACTCAATATGGATGATCATTGTGACAGAAGAGAATCGAAGTATCAACAGAGAATCAATACAATAAACCACTTGTCAAATAGAAATGATGGATTTTGCATTCTACATACTACTGCCATACTCTCTATTACGAATCTAACCATTCCAACAGTATTCACTATTGTGAGTTCGATTGTTGCAAAACAAGATTAACTATCACATAATTGATATATTTTGAAGAACATATATCCATTATAGACTTAGTAGAACAGCCATTCTGACATGAGAGAGTAAAGGTGATGAAAATGCGTAATATTATACAATCAAAGCTATAAGTATCTGAAAATAACACAAGAATAAATGAATAGATGGAAATACACCGAAATAAAGAAAAATAGAAATGGGTGGAGAAAATGTGATTTTATTATATGTATTCTAGTTTGTAACACACCAGCATATCAAAGACATAAACAATAATCCATGACGTGTGTTCTATCGAGAAATAATGAAACAGATCTTGTTTCCAAAATAACCGTTTTACCATATTTCTTTTCATTTCCATGCAAAAGTTTGCTGATTTTGTCAATTCTGCTATCAGTAACTATCATATTGATAGTTCCATTATTCAAAATGTACAGGGATGCTTAGGTAAAGAAATGAAAGTTGATGGCTGGATTTCACTCATATTGAGTAATAGAGAATGTGTAGTATTGCAATTCAATAATGGAATATTCATGAATCAAGGATTTGTGGTCAATGAGCAGAAAGTGTTGAAAGTGATTGGAAATCATCAAATTGGTGCTATTTCATATAATGAAGAACAATCCATAGAAGTAGAAGAAGGAATTGTGGACTTGGATCATGGAAGTCGATTTGAAGGCTTGATATTGGCAGAAAACAAGTTTGGAATTCCATTTGGATATGGTGAAATGTATGATAATGATGGATTGCTGTTGTACAAGGGCATAATGATCAATTGGAAACGATTTGGCTATGGAACGAGTTATCATAATAATGGATGTATTGAATATGAAGGATATTGGTGTGATGATAAGCGATTTGGAATTGGAAAAGTGTATGATCGATATGGTAAATTAGTGAAAGAATGTGAATGGTATAATGGAATTGAATGTGATAATGATGAAAAATATGAAGGAGATGGAAACAAACCACTGAATATCGGAATGAAACATTTGAAACTGACTGACAATTGTGTATTGGTCGATTGGGATGTTTCATTGTTGTATAATTTGGAATCAATCGAAATCGGCGATGAATGTTTTGGATCAGTGCAAACATTCAAAATCGATGGATTGAATCGATTGATAACTATCAAAATCGGAAAGTATTCATTTACTCAGATAGAGAATACTTCGGGAAATGATGAATCGAAATCATTCCACATATTGAATTGTGAATCATTGGAATCCATTCAAATTGGCTACTGTAGTTTCATTGATTTTGCTGGCGACTTTGAATTGAAGAATCTACCACAATTACAATCCATTCAAATTGGCACAATTGAAAGTAAATCATGCAGTTTCTTGTGTAGTTCATTTGTAATTCGAGGTATTGATATGATATTGAATATTTGAATGATGCATAGATCTTCCAAATCTACAATCCATTACATTGGGTAGTTATTCATTCAGTTTAGGTCTAGAATTCAGTCTATATTCCCTCAATTCTTTAGAATCAATTGAAATCGGACATTACTGTTTTAGAATAGGGCAAAGATTCAAAATCGATGGATTGAATCGATTGAAAACAATCAAAATCGGGATCGATTCGTTTACTATGCTGGATCATACCGATTGGAAAAATATTAGTTGTACTAAGGCTGCCCAAGAATGTAACAATTCAAAATCATTCCACATATTGAATTGTGAATCATTGGAATCCATTCAAATCGGTGAATGCAGTTTCAGTGATTTTGGAGGAGACTTTGAATTGAAGAATCTACCAAAATTACAATCTATAAAAATTGGCACAATTGAATATAATTCATACAATTTCTATTACAGTTCGTTTGTAATTCGAGGTATTGATATGATATTGAGTATTATATTATAGATCTTCCAAATCTACAGTCAATTACATTAGGTGAATTGGCGTTCCGTGATTCTTTAAGAACCATTATTGAAAGTATTGAATGAATTCGAATGAAATGATTGATGTAGATCTTCCATCATTACAATCCATTCAACTCGGTGCAGGTGCAATTCGTGGTAGAGAAAATGATTCAACTTCATTGATAATGCGAAGTAATAATGAATTGATTGGTTATGATTTGTTTTGTAGATCTTCCAAATCTAACATCAATAATTTCTGAAGGATTTAGTTTGTATTGTTTTTGTTCCGTGACATTGGAAAGTATTTCTGCATATTGAATATTGATAGTATTTAGATATTCCAAATCTTCGAAATGTCGAGCTACCTGATTCATTCGATGGAGTTCGATCGAAATCAATTTCGAGTATAGTTAGATTGATTTGATTTGATTCATAGATGTTTCTTCCATTCTCGCTGATCTTGTCCACGAAATCAAGCATTCGTTCTATTTTATGTTTTGATTTGATTTAATTTGTTCAGTGATTCGTCCTTGTTTAGGAACATTTCGATTGTTTGATTGTTTGTTTGAAACCGATTCTTGATCACAATTCATGATTCTATAATTATCAAAATATCAATCCTGCCTGATTATTATGATGTTCTTCTTTACCATTTTAACAATGATACTGAATTATGACTGTTGTTTCAATCAATCAATCAATGGATCAATGGATCAAAGATAGCTGATTCAAAATGCAAATGAATGTTGAATATCGTAAAGAATCAATTCATCATTCACACTCAATAATACTGATAAGAATAGAAAGGCTCTTCAATCCATTGATTGATTGATTGAATGAATGAATGGTGTGTATTTGGTTAGTTTTCGATCTTTATTCATCATCATTATCATTATTATGATTGTATCATCATCCACATTATTCATCGGTCTATTTCAGCATATTGAATACCATTAGATCACTTTGGTATTGTTGATCATGAATAGAATGATTGGATAGGATCGATCAATCAGAATCAGAATCAGATTGATAATGAGTATTCAACCATCAATCCTCGTGATTATTATTATTATTATTATTATTATTATTATTATTATTATTAGTAGTAGTAGTAGTAGTAGTAGTAGTAGTAGTAGTAGTAGTAGTAGTAGTAGTAGTAGTAGTAGTAGTAGTAGTATTTGTATTAGTATTTGTTCGATTATCAATGATATAGAATCGATCGAATGATTCATTGATAGCGATCCAATCGACTGATAGAATTATACAATTGATTCGATCGAATCCAAATGGAACAATCACTCAAACACATTGTAGTCTCAATGGTTGTTTTGCAATTGAATCGATCGAGATTCATGAAATCATTATGTTCCATCATTGTATTAGCTGGAATCTATCATTGTACTGTATTGCATTACAATTCTCTTCTTTCTTTCTTTCTGATCATTATTATTATCATTATTATTGATATCATTCAAATCATTAGATCCCATTCGAACAAGTCAATATGGAATCAGTATTTGATAATCACAATACAATAATGAGACATATTGTGAGAACCATTTGTGTTGTGGTTTGAATATGAGTATTTCGATAATGGGTTTTCTTGGAATCCATTGTTTGATTGTATATTCAATATACTGTTTGTGATTTAGCACCGATGAATCCACAAATCACATATTTCGAATGAATCTTGATCGAACGACTTCAATCGAATCGTTTTGACAAGATTCATTGCACTTAATCCAATTGAATCAATAGGAATCGACACAATCCATATTTGTTTGTTGAGATAGTATTCATTTGGATAATACTCAATGATTCATTATTCTTTTCTTTTGTTTTTGTTTTGATTTGTTTTGATATTGCTTATCTATTATTGATTATTCCATTTTTCATTTGTTGTTGTTGTTTTTCAACTTTTGGAATTCAATGTAGTTCATTTTATTATTTCATTTTCGATTTTGTTTTTTAGTTTATTCTTGTTTGTTTTGCTATTCTTTAGTTTTCTTTGTTTCTTACAGTGTTGGATATGCTAATAAGGATCATTCTGTTCTGTATGCTTTAAGACAATATAAAATTTCCATTGTTGCACAGAATCTTCAACAAATGCTCCCATGTAGTAACTGTGTTTTTCGATAGATTTTTGTGTTGTAATAGATAAAAGAGATTTCTTCGAATTTTCTCAGGTAATAGTGTACAAGAAATTTGGAACAAACAGATAAACCCCTTTTTATCGATAATGGCAACGCGATCAACCCATCTTTCCAAATATAACAGATGAGTTGATCGCAAATGCTATTGCCTCTTTAGGCCATCTTCGCCACTACTCGTTATCAACAATCCATATCAATACGAGCTCGATTCCTCTTCGTCCCCTTCCAGACACATTGCAGTAGAAGAAATGCAGTTTGACACACTCAATAATAAGGAGGAAGAAGATACCAAAGTCATGGTCAGAACTGCCATCTTCAGCTGCTGAAGCTATCGGTAAGCCATTCAAACGTGTTACCTACTTCAATTTTATTCATCTTCAACGCCCAAAACGTTCGGTTCACCTTAGGACCCAAATTCTCGATTGGGCAAGGCTTTACGAGTCTTCGCATTGAGATATCGTTGCCGAAATGTAACGGTCTGGAGGAAGCTCTATACTTTTAGTTTGCGCTTGATCGGGTTTACAATTGTTTCTGGGAGATGCGCAAGAGGCTAGCACAGCTCCTGAACGAGCGCACAGCCATTCGAGAGGCCATGTTTCCCCGCTGTGTGAAAAAGTGTGAAACAAACAAGCCTTGGAATCACATCAGGACCACTCCGGGTATTTCGTCTTCATCAGTTCGGACAAGCTCATTTCTACTCTTCATTCCACCATTCCACGCGCACTCTTGTCATCATCCTTAATCTCGTAGGGCACATACTCCGACTTCTTCAACTCCGCGATGGCGTCCTACCCTTCACTCCCTCTCTCAATCCGCACCACCAAATTCCCCCACTGTCCGCGCACCGCATCCATCATGGGCGTTCCGTACACGTGCGCCGATCTCCGGAAGGTCCAATGCGTGGACAGCCACGGCTGTGCAGGGCAGTGCTCGAGCCGCGCGATCCACTTTCCGCGCTCCTCGGGCGTGTAGTTGAGGTCGAACCGCTTGCTCTCGTAGCAGGATTCCACGTCGGGCAGCAGCACGCAGCCCTTTCGCTCGTTCGTCAGGCTCAGCGACGGGTCGTTCCCCGCCTGCTTGAACCACATCGCCAGCTGCCCCCACACGTACCCGCTCGGGTAGCTGCGCTGCGCCTGGCACAGCACGCGGTTGCTCTCCGCGATGCGCGCCGCCTCGCTCTGCTCCCGCCAGAACTGCTCCTCGGGCGAGTCCCACGCCTCCCCGCCCACCCACAGGTTTGACCGCGTCGCCGACGAAGATTTGGCGGCAGACGAAGACGACGAAGATTTGGCGGCAGACGAAGATTTGGCGGCAAACGAAGACGAAGACGATTGCGCGGCAGACGAAGATTTGGCGGCAAACGAAGACGACGAAGACGATTGCGCGGCAGACGAAGATGATTGCGCGGCAAACGAAGACGAAGACGATTGCGCGGCAGACGAAGAAGTTTTGGCGGCAGACGAAGAAGGCGAAGAAAAAGAGGCGGGAGAGGGATCCGCGGGCGAAGCGCCCATGGCGGGGGGCGAAGCCATTTTGGCGGGGTTTTGGGCGGCCAGGCGGCAGACGCGCTCCTGCAGCTGCCTGTCGGTCTGGAGCTGCTTATCGACGCGGAGCTTGTACGTCGTCGCGCAGGAGCAGGGCAGATCGTAGCAGTGGAGGGAGATGGGCGCGCCCTTGACGCTGCGGTACTCCGTAGCCACGAAGAACACCGCGGTGTGCAGGTACATCGTCAGCAAATCCGCGGCCGCCTGGTGGCAGCGCCGCTGCGCCGGCAGCGTCAGCAAGCCGTCCCGCACTACATCGAATCGGGGAAACGGGGAAACCCGAGGTCATCTGGAGACGCACCCACTCGAGCGTGGCGGCGTCCCGCGGTTGCTGGAGTGCGCGGTCGAGCGCGGTGAAGAACTGCACCGCGGGGAGATCGGAGATTTCGGCGAGCGCGGCGCGGAGAAGGCGTTTCATCACGGAGTGAGCGCCGAACCACAAGAAGTCCAGGACCTCGGCGTCGGTCAAAAGGCGAAACGGAGGCACGGCTCGGAGTTCCGCGGGTTGCTGGGCGAGGAAGTGCTTGACGCGATCCGCGGTTATGGCCACGTTCTGCAGGCGCGTGGCGAACACGCCGTGCGACTCCAGGCGCAGCGCGGCGTCGGAGGGGTACAGATCGCGGCCCAGACAGTCCTTCATCCCGCGCAGTTCCGCGGGGAGGGACGCTTCTTCGAATTCCATGAAGCGGAGAATCGACGCGATCCATTTCTGCAGCCACGCTGGCGCGCCTTCCAGCATGGAACACTATTCCTCATGAATCGGAGAAACGGAGAACCTTGATGCCGTGCTTGGCCAATCGCCTGGCGTCGTCGTCCGAAACCGCGGAATTGCAGGAATCGAGCAGAACCGCGGTTCTCTTGACGAAGGGAAACCGTTTCGCCATGACCTGCATGAAACTGTTTCCGTCCGCGTAGGAGACGAAAGAACCGCGGCATTGCAGCGAGCCGCAGAGGCACGTGGCCATTTCAAACTCCGTTTTTGATTCGCTGACGCACGCGTAGTCGAAACACAATTCCTCTCCCCACGCGATGGGTCGCAACGCGACGCTAGAGGTGACGCAGTCCCGCGGGGAGCACAGCACGATGGCGAGACGGCCGTTCACGGTTATCGTGGTCGTCGCGCAGTTCGGCGAGCAGGAATGGCTCATCCGACTCCCGAAATTCCCGCGGAAGATGGGGTCGATGTACAGTACATCGTAGCCCCCGCGGGAGTCCGGAGGGCGCTCGAGCATGATGTTGTAGAATTCGGGGAGATTTCCGTCCATCCCAAAATCTTTGAGTTTTTGCTTGAGCAAATCTTGCTTCTCGAACCACGCCCACGGCGGATACACTTCCCCCAAATACCGGCAGATCACCGTGTTGGCGGCAATCCCGCCTTGCCGCGCGCAGATCACCCCCTTCCCCTTCGGGTGCACGTGGAAGTGCGACGGGCCGACATACAGGAACTACAAAATGGAGGCGGGACGACATGCAGACCGCTTGCAGGATCAGCGCGCAGGCGGGAACCGAGATTTCCCGCGCGATCAGCAGGATCAGCGCATTCCTACGCCTCACACGCCTCCCCGCGGGACTACCTCAAGTCATGCGCGACCTCCCGCGGGAGGATGGAAACCGCGGGGAGGAGGCTCTGCTGGATAAAGACTTCGACGAGTTCGTCGGTGACGCCGCTGCGCTTCAAAAGCTTCTGGATCAGATTCCGCGTGTAGCAGTCGATTCCCCAGCTGTCCCGGATCGCCAGGTCCCGGTTCACCTGCAGCTCCTCGCAGCGGCCCAGCTGGTTCCCGCAGGCGGGCGGGCCGCACCGCGGGGAACACGCGAAATTGTGCGCCGCGCAGGGACACGCCGACTCGAAGTGCCAAGTGAGGGGGTTCAGAACCGCGGGGGCGTCGCCGCAGTGGCCGTCGCAGCGGGAGTCGCTAGAGGAAAAGTGGAAACGTGGAAGGACGTGGGGTTGTCGAGCTTGTGGAGCACGGCGCGTTTCTGCGCGTCGGTGAGTTCCTCGAAGGGCTCGTAGTCGCGAAGCGTTTCGTAGCTACGCGCGGCGTAGGCCCCGCGGTGAGAAGCCATGCAGTAGGGCTCGGAGTTGGAGTCGATCTCTTGGAGAATGGTGGCGAGGTCGAGACGCTGCGTGGTGAGTTGGTCGAGCTGAGTGAGAGCGTAGGATACGAGGGATTGAAGGGAAGAAGAAGAAGGAGTAGTAGTAGTAGTAGTAGTTTTAGTTGTTGTTGTTGTTGTAGAAGAAGTAGAAGAAGGAAAGAGATTATGCCTACTAAAAAAGGCGGAAATTTTGGAACGGTCAAAGATGAGGGGCTACGTGTTAGAATTCCTTGAAAATAAAGACTTCTTTGTTGTGAAGACGAGTGGGAATGCTGTCGATCATGGAAAAAACGCTGGGAGGAAGAGAGAGGGATTGCAAAAGAGACAGCGACTCCGCTGACTCCGGTTGGTCGCCTGCTTCGTCCTCTGAAGGCACGTTGTTTGAGAAAAAGTCCAAAAAACTCGCGACAGGCGCGGTTACAAACTTGTCCTCCATTATCCCCTTTAAAAACTCCATATATATTGCTTTCTACATCCTATGCTTCCCGGAAACACAAATTCTACTTCATCTGCAGAAATCAGATGTGGCTTGTGATTCATTATTTCAAACAGCAATACACGCTGCACATCGATTCTCTCCTTCAGTTCATGCCTACTTCTTACAAACAAATACCAACTCTACAATTTCGACTTCCACGTGTATCTCTTGTCCTCCTTCTCCTTTGGAATGTATTCAGTTTTCCTTTTTCTACTCGGCCGCAACACTTTGGCAGGAATCACCGTTTTGCGCTTTGAAAGCTTTATTTTTTTATGCGGCGTAGAATCAATATAGTCTTCGTCCTCCGGCTGCTTCGAACGTGGAGGAGACATCGAAAAAAGGAAAATGTGGTCTCGATCAAACAAACAGACATGCTAAACAACCACAACACAACTATGCAGACGATTCCGTCGCCTGCCGGTCCTTGAAAAAGCGAATGTACTCTTCGGAGGTCAGCAGCGACTTTTGAATATTCATCACATCGGCCACTTTCGGAGCAAACAAAGCGATAAAACCGTCCGTGCGAGGCTAATGCATTACATCGACTCAGCTGCAAGGAATCTACTTTTGTGTTCAATAGCTCGGGCTCTTCCAGCAGACGCAGATTTACTTCTAACAAACGCGCGCGGATGCATGCCGCGATCTTGTAAACTGAACCGTCGTCGCACGTGATTTCGCAGAGAATCGTGCTCTCCTCTACCCAAATGCCGCCCTTTTTGCGTTTTCCAGACACATCATTCTTAACAAGATCACGATGATCCTTTCCTTTCTATAGATTAGTATCATTATTATTGCACAAAATAAGTTGGTACACCAAAAACAACTTTGACGCAACGCTTTCCTTTGGTTATAATGTCATGCCCAAAAGCCAAGCTTACAATGCAGATTGTGTTTGAATGCATGCACACCGATCTAAATGTGATTAGCCATTTACTGCAGTATGCACACATACATATCATTTCCAACTTGACCATTAATCCCAGCGGCAAAGAGCTGTGTGTAGTACCGATCGATCATACAACTCTTGGAAAGTTTAAAATTGTCCAAGTGGATCTCGCTGTACTGCTGTAGCATGTTTTCCCGATTCTTCAAGGACTGGCGGATGGAAGACTGTTCGCGAAGCATTTCCTGGTTTTCTCGATTGCGGCCCAGAACGTCGCCCACATCCAGCGCTTTCGAAATGCTAGAACTGACAAATCCAATAGAAAAGCACTCTCCGTGCGTGAATTTGCACTTATCGCCGTACTGGCACTTTCCAGTCTTCACCCATTCAAAGCAAAGACGAGTCTTGTTAATCTTCTACAAATCACTTCCAGAAAGCAAAAGTATAACATTGGCAGGACGTTTACGTTTGGATCCTTCAATTGGTTGGGCTGGTTCCATTTCCAAACGCGATATTCTGTTTGAAATCATGAGCCATCCCACTTCTTCTTTCTTTCTTTCTTTCTCTCTTTCTTTCTTTCTTTCGATGCTGCAGCTCTCCACGCTCGACCAATCTATTCCTTTCTTCACCCAGTCTCCAACAAACACAGAACAACGCACTATTCAATTCCTGAACTAATTCTTCCACCAATCGGTTCATCATCGCGTATCCTTCTTCCCGAATCTCCACCAGCTCCGCCTTCATCTCCACCACCAGCACGCGGCCGCTCTCCGTCCCCACGAACAGCGACCGTCCATTGTCGCTCCACTGCAGACACGTCAGTCCCCCCGCGGTTCTGCCCAGCTCCGTGGAGCCCACATTCAGCGTGACGACAGGCATCTACATCACAGAACCGCGGTTATCCCACCTCGCGGTCCTGCAGCAAATTCCAGATCTGGAGGGAGTTTCCTTCGATCGCCGCGGCGAAAATCGCGGGATTCACCGGATGCCACTGAACCGCGGTTATGTACGCCGTTCCGGGGGAGAAATGAGCCAATGGCTGCGACGAAACCTATCCCTCAAATCGTGGAAACGTGGAAACCGTGGGTGCCCAGAGAGCGATCTGCCAATCAAAAGAGGCGGTGAGGAGGAGGTTTCTCACCGCGGGAGACTCGGCATTGTGGCGGGTCTGTGTAACCGCGGTTCTGAGCGAAATGGATGAAATCGGTGCGGAGTGGAAGGAAAGTCGTGCGTCCAATGAGAACACGTTGTCTCGGAGCGCGACGACATACACGGAGCCGTCCTCGCAGCCCACCCAGAAGGCGCTCAGTTCCGCGGAAAAGGGGGAAATGGCGGTGGGTAAAATAGGGAACTCGAGGGACTGCGCGTTGAGCGTCTAAAAAATAAGCGTGTTTCGCATGTGCAAAAACCAGGCTGTTCAGATTCACGGTCGCCACGGGGTCGATCACCGCGGTGGGTCCCCACAGCCCCAAAACCCCGTCGCTCGACACGCCCAGCACTCCGCTGAGCGTCGCCGCCTCCACCCACTCCAGTCCCACCAGGCGCAGCGCGCTGCCCTCCAGACTCCCCGACGCCTGCGACAGCGCGCCGCTCCCCGCGGACAGGTCCCACACCGCCACGTGCCCGTTCGCCAGCCCGCCCAGCAGCACGTTTCGGTCCTGCGGGTGGAAGAGTCCCGCGGTTATCCCCTCGGAGGAGCGGAGAAGGCGGTAGGGATGATCGGGGATCGGCGCGTCCCACAGCGCGCAGAACCCCTCGAAGAAACTCCCGGTCGGGGAAACTGGAGAAACTGGGGAAACCGGAGAAACCGGAGAAGCGGCGTAGGTGACGAGGAAGATGGATTTGGAGAAAGGGGAAACCCGAATGGAGGTAACCGGGTGATCCGAGACCGAATCATCGATGAAACTCCGCGAGAGAGTGAGCAATTCCCGCGATTTGGAAGAGTGCGACTGGGAGTCGATGTATTCGTTCTGGGGTTAACGGGAAGCGCGGGGAAAACCATGAAATCGTAGGCTTCCAATTGGCCCAAGGCGCGTTCGACGATTCCCACGGAAGAGCAAATCGTGGCGACGTCCAGATTCTCTTTGATCTGCGAGAGGCCGGCGGCGTTGTCCAGAACGTTGATTTCTAAAAAGAATTAGCGAATGGTTAAGAGGAAGAACGAACTTTTCTTGATGGCGGTGATTGTGTTCGGAGGGGTGCGAGGGGGTTCGGGAATAGGGGAGACGGGGGTTGGTTCTTCTTTTTCTTCTATGAGGGGGGCAGGCGAGGTGAACTCGAGGCTTGTTTGAACGCTCTTCTCATAGCGTTCGATGTGGGAGGTTTGAGCATCTGAAGGTGCGATTCTTGACTATTTGATAGAAAAGAGTGCATCCTATCTTACTTCTGCGTATCCATCTTCATTTTCTTGAATTGACTATCCTGTTAGAAACTCTAGGTTGGGATCTACCTGTTGCGTATGTGCAGGCTCATTTTGATTCTTTAAAATCTGCTCAACAAAGCTGTCAATCGTTTCAGAATCAATATCGCCTCGAACTCTCCTAGATTATTACAAACAGCCAAAAAAATGTACGAGCGACGCTTTTCACGAAGACGGCGTAATTCCTCAAGCCGCTGCTTCTTTTCTTCAATTGTAGTCGATAAGTCCATTCAAAAGAAATGGAGTTCAAGGATTCTTTGAAAAAAAACTATATTAGACAAAATTGTAGAAATGAGGAAGTTATCATTTCAAAAGGAGAGATGTATTAAAATCACACTTACACTCACAATCGACTGATGAGTTCCGAACCAAAGAGAAGAAAGCTAAATTCATCTGTATATAGCAATAATAATGCATTTAGCATAGAACCAGTCCAATCCAACGACCACTTTTGGACATGGTTGTAAAGGCGTGTTTGTGACATGCGACCGAAACAAAGAAAGCTTGGCTGTAAAAGAGGTATATCGATTACTGGAAGATGTGAGCGTTTTAATGTTTTTGCTCATTTGTAGTATATTGATTCTCGAAAAGATCCCCTTGAATTACAAAAGGAAGAAACTACCGATTTGGATGCTGAATTAGCAGAGTTGGAGAGAAAAGACAAACCGAGACAGTTTACACGCCTGGATCTTGTTTGATTATCACAAAAATGGTGTGAGAATGTAGGGAATGAAAGGGATCGCCTTTGTTCAAATCCTTGATGAGACCATTGACCCGGTGGCTGCCATTCAGTATATTTTCCACAAAGCAGTTGAGACAAACAGCAGTCTCTCTCGTTTTGCAGCTCGTGTCATTCCGATTCAGCGAACGTGCTACGCGCATGAGGAGGAAGTGATCGCTATGCTTAAGGAGATGATCCCCGCGGTTTTCAACGACTCCACAAAGGGTCAATCGGTAGATATCCGCGGTTCTTCTTTCACACAAATAGTGGTTCATGCAGATCAAGCGTCGGAACAATAACACATTCGATAAAGAGCTTTTGATTCGCTCCATCGCGCCGCTCATCGACGAGAAATCGAATCCCGTGGCGCTGCGCGAGGGAGACATTTGCATTCACGTGGATATCGACAAGGGCGTGTGCGGTGCCGCGATTATTCCCGCGTATTCCTCGCTAAACAAGTAGGAAAGGGCGGGAAAAGACATTCAGTCTGAGTTTGCGGACGTTGCTTCGATCGGAAAACGAGCAAAACGAGGCGAATGAAAGCAGTAAATTGAATCAAAACCCGTCCAAAGCGAAGGCGACGGGGAAGGAAGAAAAAGCAGCGGCGTCGATGATCGATCGGCTGGATGGAGACTGGAAATGCGGCGCTGTGAGTGAAGGGTGCGGATTTCATTGCGTAGTGCAATGCGCCGAACTTTGCAAAGCAGGATGTTTGTTGGAAGTGCCAGCATGATCGCCGAGAGAAAGGAGAATAAAGTGGAATGGGTCTTTGTTTGTATCTTTGTTTGTTGGAAATAATAATAATAATAATAATAATAATAATAATAATGATGATGATGATGATGATTGCTAGGATTCGAAAAGCGTGTTGGAATAAGTAGATCAAACGTATTGTGGATTCAATGATAAAACGATCGATGAAGGAGTATTACAATCAATAAATGAATCAGTAAATCGATGAATCAAGTAGTAGATGCGTTCATAAATCAAAAGATGAATGAATGAATGAATGAATGAATGAATGATTCAATCAATGATTCCAGTACCAACAGATCGTTCAACACACACCGACCGTAAAAAACAAACACTCCTCATTTCAACCCTCTCATCTTTACTTCATCTTCGCAAAAAAGCCCTTTCGCTTCTCGTTCATTCCCACGCGAACACGGGAAATCAGACTGTCGTTGCGGAACACGCTGTGCAACCCCACCAACAGCACGAAGAACAGATTGAACACGAAGAAGAACGACATATAGCGGAAGTTCAGCAACACTGTCAATCCCGTGACTACCATGAACACGCGATCCAATACCTACACGCTGCAGTACCCAGAACAATGCAGGAAGGAGTGATACGGTAATCACCGATGATAAAAGGACGAGGAACAACCACGAACGGAATGCTGGATGTGAAACAGAAGGGAAAGAGGCTACAGCCATAGAAGCGCAATGCAGAAATCGAGCATAGCAAAGAGCGGAGATGACATGCTTCACATGCATAAAGAAAAAAAGGATTTACGCGATAATGACCAACATGCAGGCATAGAGCGCAAGATAGTTCATTCGGTAGTAAATGAGGTTGTTGCTCACGCGGTCTTCCAAGTTGCTCATTTCGGGCACGTTGAACTTTTCGAAACACTCGTCGAGCGCAACCTACATCAGAATACATAGAAAAGCACCTACAAACTTTCCCCATCCCCAGGTATTCACAGTATTCCACAAATCCAAAATCCCTAAAAATCACTTCACCGTAGGAATCGGGTACAAGGATCATATTCGTTTTCGGGAATAATATCCTGCACCATGTGAATCAACGTGTGTACAACAAAAAAGTAGAACAGACACAACTCACTTCAAGCACTAAAAGGCTCCACATCCGCACGCTCGTCCTTCGCATTCCTCGACAACGCCAAAAAGTCTCGGTACGGCGCATCGGGTTTCACCATGTCCAGATCAAACCATTTGAATCTGTACCCCGTTTCCATCTTCCCCACTCCATTATGCGGCACCTTCACGAACAATTTCTGCGTCCACGGACGGTACTCGGGGCTCTCGTGCTTCTGCTGGCACGGCAGTTTCCGCTGCGCGTCCTCTACTCGTCAGTTTCCCCGCGGGAATCCACCCAGCCGCGTCTTCTCCGTTTCCACCGTCTTCCAGTCGGGTCCTTCCGGCCGTCGGATCGCGCACGTGACCGAGTTCCACAGTTTCCTCGATTCGAAGGGGCCTTGCCGCGGGATTTCCAGCACTTTCTTCGGCAGCACGGGGAGTTTCGTCACGTCGAGGAAGAGTTCCTCCTAGAATGCAAACCTCCCCGCGGTAATACGTTCTCCCCCGCGGGACCGGCGAGGTAGAAGGCGGAGTCCCAGTGACCGCGGAGGCGGTGGATGGGTGTGCCGTTGTGGTAGATAACCGCGGTGACGCGGTTGTAGTCGCCGCCGAAGAGCGGTTTTCCATGGAATTCGATGTCGGCCTTGAAGCCGGTCTGCGCGCAGTGGAGAGAAAGCTTGTCGATGAGCTGCATGCGCAGCGTGCCGATGAACAGACCCGTCCCTGCGAACGCGGGGATCATCGTGGAATACTATTCCGTGGGGGGGAGAGAGAGGGACTACGACTTCGCCGAACCGCGGGAAAAAGACCTCGATGTTGCCCAGCATGGAGCCGCAGGCGCTGTTCCCCGTGAAGTGCGACTTGGTCCAGATGTACCCGTTCGCGCAGTAGCCCTGCTTCTGGTTCTCCAGGTAGAACGCGGACACGGGCGGGTGGTGGCTCACCTGCTCGGCCACGTAGCTCACGCGGCTGGCGCCCGTGTCCACGATGCAGGAAAAGGTCTCGCCGATGATGGGGTTGTAGGGCTTCTTGCAACCCTGCACGGTGAGAGGAGGATGGAGAGAGCAGAGAAAAACGTACATGAGTTTTGTAGTGCCAGCTGGAGAGGTACCATTTTAAGATGCACATGAAACGCTTGTATGGATCGTCACCCTGGACTCTACACATGAGATTATGCACAATGATGAGATGAGAGTACTCAGGGGCGTCCAGCAAATCAACGTGCATCAACATATCGCCCAAATGCTCCAACAAAGATCGAGGAGCAAGGAAAAACACAGGAATCAGTACTCGAGTCAAGTCCTGCCCTAAGGTTCAGAAGCTGTCTTTCTTTTCTACCAGGCTTGAGAGATTTCAAAATGTGCATGAAGAGACTTGGCTGCACGTAGGGCTCACCCGTAATCTCTCCTCCTCGGGTATTCTCGGGATCTACACCCTCACGTAAAATGGACCACTCCTACCCTCCACGGTGTATTTTGTATAGTCAATACCACCAGAAAGGTCAGGGAACGTGGGTTGTTGAACTTGCTCAGCCATGAGTACAAACTAAATTCACGTTGAGAAACGAGCTCTCCACATATTCTCTACTCCGCCTACTTTGCTTATGGGCCTCTAAGCAGAAGAATAGTGTCTTCTTCATGAGGATCGGGAGTTTCGTTTCAATTCCTTTGCTTTCCTTTGCTAACGAACCACCATCGCGTGCATCCAACAAACACCTCAATTCTCTCCAGCCTCCTTGCGCTGTTTCAAGGTCTCCAGGACCTCCGTCAGAGCCTTCTCGCTCTGCTCCATCAGCTTCTCGCATTCCGCGAGCACTTCGGTCTTGAACGCTTCGTCCTTGACGTCGCCCAGGTTGATCAGCACGTTCTGGTAGCATCCCCAGATTCCCGTCTCCAGACACTTCGCTCCTACCTGCAGATCGGACATCGACTTGATGTTTCCGATCTTCGCCATGCCGGTCATGAACGGCCACGCCTTGCACGCCGTGCGCATTCCCTGCAGCGGGACCTGCACGGCGGTCTTGAGTCCTTCCTGCATGGCGGTCTCTCTGCGCTCGATCTCCTCGGGCGTTTTCTTGGGGAGTTTCATGGCGTCCATGTAGGCGTTGAACGCGTTGGTGTCGCGATCAATCATGGGGATCATCTCCCGCATGAGCTCGTCGAGGTTCTTGATGAGCACGCGCATCTGCATGTCGAGGTGTTCGAACTTGCGGATTCCGTAGGTCATCCATCCCACCATGGCTCCCACTACGCTTCGCTTCCTCCCCTCCGCGCCTACGTCCGATGCCCATCGAGCTCACCAGCGACGACGCCGACCCGCCGCCCGGCGCCGCCGTGCGCGAGCCCAGCACCTCGACGAACTGGCGCACGGAGAGCGACGCCAGCGGCTCGTCGGGCTGGTCCTCGACCATGTACTCGATGATGGTCTTGCGCGGGTCGAAGGGCTTCACCGAGTTGAGGCCCAGGCGCTGCGCGACCAGCATGATCTTCTGCTTCTCCTCGAGGATGAACAGGTTCTCCTTGCGGATGTAGTAGTCCGCCACTTGCAGAATGGACTCCAGGTTGATCAGGCCCACGATCTCGCCGCCGCACAGCGAGATGTTCAGCGCGCGCGCGTCCTTCTCGCACTCCTCGTACACCTGGTGCATGTTCGTCACGTGGTAGTCCGTCAGATTGCAGCTGATCTGCGCCATTTCGTACTCCTCCACGTACCACCCGATCGCCTTCAGCTCCTGCAGCCGGCCCGGCTCGTTCGGTCCGCGGCCCGCCGTGCGCACGTTCAGCGCCAGCCGGTGCGCCTGCTGCTTCGTGCCCTACCTCGCAGACCGCCTCCGGGCCTACCAGCACGTTGATGTTGAACGCGATCAGCAGCTTGCGCGCGCCGCACACCGTCGCGCCCCAGCGCGGAATGAACTTCGCCGGACCGAAGTCAGGCTCCCACTCCTTCGTCACGATGCGCTCCGCCACCTTCTCGTACTCGCCCGCACGGATCTGAGGAAGCGTGTGGCGGTACGCGCCCTTCGTCTCCGCGTACTCGTACATGTAGCTGAAATCGAACGCACACGCTATTCGTACATGGGAATGCCCAGCTCCTCGCTCGCGCGACGGGCAAACTCGCGGGACACCTCCACACAGTCCTCCATCGTCACTCCCTAGGCTTCGACCGGATACGCAAGGCATACGCTGATAGGAATGAAGGGGCACACATCGCAGGCTCCCATACGAGGGTGCTCTCCGTGGTGCTTGGTCATGTCGATCAACTGATAAGCGACACGGCAAGCGTTCAGTGCTCCCTCAATCACAGACTTCTTGTTACCCACGAACGTATACACGGTTCTGTTGGTCGAAGCGCCAGGATCCACATCCAAAACCGTGCAGCCCGCTAAAATTGATTGCAAATTCAAAATCAGTACGGGTGTTGCGCATAGCATTTGCAATAGCCTCAATCACCTCCTTGTCTCTTCCCTCACTACGATCTGAAGATTCAGATCCAAATCTACCTGAAATTAGGAACACACTCCACGACTTCTCTCACCATAATGCTCTCGGAATCAATATAAAAAAACAATTTGGAGAACTATGGAAACTGGAGAAACTCGAAGTTGGGAAACAGAGAATTGGCAAAAAAAAGGGAAAAAAGTGCTCAAACTGGGGATCGAACCCAAGACCTTCGCGTTATTAGCACGACGCTCTAACCAGCTGAGCTATTCGAGCTCTGAATAGGAACTTAATGAATACTACAAAACATTTACAATCCTTGGTGTTTTGACTTTATAGGAAATAAAAGCAAATAATCACGATACTCTTGCTATTAACAAACATTACAAACCACATCTATCACATCAATTCCTAAAAGATTCAATCCTTGACGCATTACTTTTTCTGCAGCCATAATAAGGAGTAACCGGCTATTTTGCTCAGGAGTTCCGATTACACGGCAATCTCTATAGAATGCATTCAACGAAATACAAAGGTCATAGAGGTACTTGCACAGAACATTGGGCATTAAATCCTTCGCTACCTTCTCGACTGCGTCATTGAAACGCAGAATGGAGCACGCAAGGCTCCACTCGGAACGATGCGACAAAGAAATGTTTCCACACTCTCTAAATCCGTTTAGATCCATGTTCGCTTTGCGCAGAATGGACATACACCGCGCGTGCGTGTATTGCAAGTAGACATTCGTGTCTCCCTCCGGCGAAAGCATCCGATCGAAGCTGAAAACATAATCGGACAATCGATTCTGGCGAAGATCAAAGTACTTCACGCCCCCAATTCCCAGCTGGGTGGCTGTCTGGACGATTGCCTCCTCCTCCGAGAGATTGCTCAGCCCGCTCTCCACGCGCTGCCTCAAAATCGCGGTCGCTCGTTCACAGGCCTCGTCCAGGAGATCCGTCAATCGGACATTCTTCCCTGACCGGGTTTTGAACTTCTTCTTGTCCTTTCCTTGCACCAGGCCGAACGCAACGTGGTCCAGGCGAGTCTTCTGTGCCCAGCCAGCTTTTCGCCCAGCCTCGAACAGCTGCTGGAAGTGGAGCGACTGCCCGGAGTCCACGACGTAAATGATCCAGTCGGCTTTGGTGACAAGAGTGCGGTACTTGAGTGCCATCAAATCGGTAGAATCATAGCCAAACCCTCCGTCTTTCTTTTGGATGATCAGAGGGACATCGAAGTTGGGCACGAACATCACTTTGGATCCTTCTCTATAGAATATTGGCTCTGTCTCTCTAGTTCCTACTGGTCGGTGAGAAGGTTCTTCGACTCGAGTTCTTTGACTAATTCAGGAAGAAAAGGGTTATAGAACGATTCTCCCTGTGTTTTCAGGCGAGGGTCGATTCCAAGACGCTGGTAAATTGTTTGATACATTTGGCATGATAAAGCACACAACTGCTTCCATACTGATAGTTCCCATGGCTCGCCCTTTTGCAAATTCACCACCTCTTGATGAGAGTGGAGTCGAAATGTGGGATCCTCGTCAAATCGGACTTTAGCAGCTCGGTACAGCGCTGTTAGATCTTCAATTGATAAGGAATTCCCGTTTGAGGAGTTGATCTCTTTTAGGTAACACAGCAACATTCCAAATTGGGTTCCCCAATCTCCAATATGATTAATACGAATCACGTCGTGCTTACAATACTCTAGAACACGGGAAAGACAATCGCCTAAAAGAGTGCTGCGTAAGTGACCAACATGCATATCTTTTGCAATATTAGGACTACTATAATCCACTATCACACGGGTTTTCTCCATTGGAGGAGGTGGTACTCCTTCCTTCAACAGAGCGTAAATACTGCTTGATACCCATGACGGGTTAAGAAAAAGGTTTATAAAGCCAGGTCCAGATACTTCCGCCTTACTGATAATATCATTATCTATGTCTCAGATAAAAAACACGAAACAAACTTGGAATAGAGGAGATAATAGACTGAGCAATATCTCTAGGGTTATTT